AAAAAAAAAAAAAAAAGCCAGTTCCAGCAACTTGGCAAGGCACTTAGCAACTCAGCAAAACTCTGTCTCTAATAAAATATACAAAAAGAGGCTAGGTATGTGACTCAGTGGTTAAGCTCCCTGGGTTCAACCAGCACTATATCACTCCCCATCTAAAAAATAGAAACACCAATTCAGAAAACTGAAATAAAAATAGATGTCATTACTTTTTTTTCCCCAGACTTATCTTAAATAAAACTAAAAGATACTTATATACATAGACATTAAGTGAATGGGAGAGGAACTGACCAGGAGAAGAGGAAGATGAACAAAGCCAGTTGCTTTCAGCCAGAGAAGGGAACAAAAACTGAGGTTCAATTACAATTGGAAGTTATCAGATTCTAGGGTGGAAGGTATATGATGGTAGAGCTGGTGATGAAAAAGAAGTGGTGGTGGTAATTTTAAAACTGTGTAAGAAAAATATGGACTTCTAGGTTCCCATCCCAACCTCAACAGAAAATAAAAGATTTTATTTTACAGAAATTGAACTAGTGAGCCTGCACACCTTGGGGGAAAAGGGGGGGTAAAGAAGGCACAATGAGGACACAGTAAAATGTCACACTGAAAACCAAAGGATTTAATGCAAGTCTGTTAACAGTGGACACTCGGCCTCATTCCCACATTTAGCTTCAGAATACCAGAAGTCAAGATTATATACCCTTCTTTTTAAGAAACCACACTATTCTGAAGAAAAGACCAAGAGATACTGACATTTCAGAGTTAATATTAGAAGGCTGGCTGTCTACTGAAATGCCCCACAGAGGAACCAAAAGGAAACAAACCAGTTTCCTGCTATACATTCTTTAATATAAATACCTAAGGTTTAGGAGATTATTTGAAGCAAGCCTCCAGGTGGGATAGAAAAAAAATAATGCTTCCATGAAATAACACCACTACAAAAAAACAGCAATTAAAAAAAAGTGTCTAGAAATACAAAAGATGAGTGGGAAAGTAAAAGTATCTTTATACCAGTGTTAAGGCCAAGGAAATCTTCCAGAAAGTACAACAAAAAAATAAAGCAATGGAATAAAAGGGAAAAAGGAGAAAACTAGCTGTTGATCAGCCCACTAGGGCTAACAATATCTGATAATATTAATTCCAGAGGGAGAAAAAAGGAAAAATGGTGGGGTATTAAAAAAAAAAAAAAAAAAGAAAGAAAGAAAAAAAGAAAAGACAACGACGACGACTACCAAATTGAACAATAGTTAAGATATAAATTCAAAAGACCCACAAGTATGCTTGTGACATAAATAAAAGGAGACTTGCAACAAGGTATACTATTACAGTATTTCAGAACTTCAGGAAAAAAGATCTTTTAGAACAGGCAGGGGGAAAAAAGAGATAAAGGATGAGAACTAAGAAAGCCATGGTTTATCTCTATAGCAACACAGAAAACCAGACAAGGAAGCAGCACCTTCAAAGATTTTAAGGAAAATATTTTCAACACCAAATAATTAAGACTTGCATAGATATATAATGTATAAAAATATCATGTCTTTGTCAGGCATGGTAGTAAGCCCCTGTAATTCTAGCTCCTGGGAAGGCGGTCAGTGGTAGAGTGCCCCTGAGTTCAATTCCCATAATACACACACACACAAAGCAAACAAACAACAACAACAACAACAACAAAACAAAAAAAGACACTTTTTTTTCGAAGTTACTAAAAGATACGCTACACCAGGGCTGGGGTTGTAGAGTACTTGCCTAGTGTGTGTGAGGCACTGGGTTCAATCCTCAGCACCACATAAAAATAAATAAATAAAAATGGGGTGGGGTTGTGGCTCAGCAGTAGAGCGCTCACCTAGCATGTGTGAGACTTTGGGTTCGATCCTCAGCACTACATAAAAATAAGTAAATAATATTGTGTAATAAATATGGTGTCTAACTACAACTAAAAAAAATATTTTAAATAAAATAAATAAAGATATTGTGTCCATTACAAAAAAAAAAAAAATTGAAGATATGCTACCCCCAAATAAGGTGGTTAGCCAAAAGAAAGAAAGACTGAATTCTAGAAACAGAGATCTGAGAAAGAAGATAAATAAATAAATGTAATTTCTATATTGGTAGCTATTTTGCAGGTCGAAAGAAGAGCCAAATTTAGAATGTAGCAAAAGGCGAAATGCTCCAGAAGAAAAAAGGAAGCAAAAAAAAAAAAAAAAAGACAAATTTAGTTTATACAGAAAATTTTGCTACTGGGGAGTATAGCAGAAAACTTTAAATGTTACAAGAAAATTAATAAAAAGTGAGGAACTTCTTAAATTCAGGAGAAAAATATACAAGGCTAAGAAATAAGCAATATTTACTTGCTCAATAGTTAGTAATATTAACAGTTTAATCAAGTCTAAATAGATGGTTAAATATAGACAGACACACATATTCAGAAATATTGAGATTAGAGAGCAAAAGAAATTATATAAAGTGTTGCCTTTGGGACAGAATAAAGTGAAGGCAGAAAGGGAAATGATTTCATTTTTGTTACAAACTATTTCATGTATAACTAGGAGAAAAATATAAAGATCTTCTAAAGCATTTCATTGTTTTTTAAGATGTTACCAAAAAATTAAGTATTAAAATGTTTTAAATAGTTTGGGCTGGGGAGATAGCTCAGTTGGTAGAATGTTTGCCTTGCATGCACATACAAGGCTTAGGTTTGATCCCCAGTACCACCCCCCCCCAAAAAAAAAAACAAGGTTAAACATTACTAAATATAAAACAAGTGTTTCAGATTCTAATAAGAATACTAAAGATGCTTATATCCATGAAAATGGGATTGAGAAAAGCTATATATTTTGACATTTTTCAGCAGGTGCTTGTTTTCAATAACTGAAATAAAAGTGTGCCAGTCTACACTGAAATACCTGACTGTCCTGTTCAATTTCTTCATTAGTTTCAGTGTTAGCCTGAAGTGAAGTCTGGACATCTACAGGGCTCTCTTCAAATTCTTCTATTTCTTCATCCTCATTCTCATCTTCTCCACTTCCATAATTAGTTAAAGCTTGAGTTTCCGCTTTAGATAAATCTAAGTTGATTAATACATAATTTTTAATAAATTTCATCATTTAATCTTTTTTGGTTTGGGGGGAGATTTTTTTGGAAACTGGTTGCAAACTCCTGGACTCAAATGTACAATGACTTCAGCCTCTGAGTAGCCAGGACTGCAGGCACCTGCTATCAGGCTCACATCATTGAATCTTATGGGCCAGATGCTTAAAATAGAGTATATAAAATCTTCAAACTGTAAATACTAGAAATCGTGGCATAAAAAGGCCAGGTAATTTAATCAAGACCACATAGGTAATTTAGTCAAGATCAAATTAGAATTCAAATTCAAGAGTTTGACACTTACTTCTATTCTCATTATATTCCTCTAAACTGTTTAAATAAGTGACCAATAAAGAACCACACTTCAGACTTTTAAACTTACTAATAGATACTGGACATCCTTCACTTTCTTCATCTTCCTCTTGATCAGAAACATCAGATCTTACATTTTTGGGACCTTCGGCACCATATACCTCAGGTGTCTGAATCTGCTTAACTGTTTCAGTCTCATCCTTGTCCTAGCAACAAGTAATTTAAATAATTAATTCTTTTATATACTTTAAAAGGTACATAGTTTAGAAATACAAAGATCATTTCTGACAATCTAATTTGATTTTCAAAAGAAAAAAAGGTTTTTCAGAAAAAATAGCATCTGATGATATACTCTGCTCTCAAATATTAAGGTAAATGCTGTTAAAATTATTTCATATTTTGTTCCAAAAGCATTATTTATAGGCACAAATTAATTAGCACATACTTTGTCTTCATCATCAATCTCTCCAGCAGGTGAGCCATGATCTCCTTCAAGAATCCTTTTGGCCTATTAGCAAATCCATTAAGCAAAACACGTTGGTAATTCAGTAAACTTTAACAAATATTGCATTTTTCATCATGTATAAAGAAAAGAATACTTTCTTAGAAATGTAGAGTAAGTTCTTTTCTTTAAGTCTTTTAAATTAACAAAACTAAAAGTAGCAGCACTTACCTCACTACTCCTTAGACATATAAAAAGGCATCTCAAATTTATTAAGTCAAAAATAAAAACCATCATTTTCTTCCTCCAAACCCCATCCTTCCTCAATCTTCCCCACCTCTAAATCGCACTTCATTCATCCTGATACATAAACTAGAAAACTCGGAACCAGCCTTTGCTTACATTCATTATTCACCTCTAAACCAATGAACACCTCACTGACTTAATGATTATCATACATTTGTTGTTGCACACCCATCTAAGACATTAGCTTATAATTTCTTACCTGGACAATTTGAACAGTTTTATAAGTGGTCCCCCCACTTCTCTCTCTACTCTCCTCCAGTACATGTTTAATGTGGTATACAGAAATTCTTTAAAATTGAATGTGAAATTATGTCACTGCTCTTTTCAAACTTCCCCATGAGTTTCCATCATATAAAGTAAAATATAAATAAATAAAGTTTTTATGTGGCTTAAAATGCTCAACAACTTGACCTTAAAAGAGAATGAAATGAAGGGCCCCTATAAAATTGAGAACAACATCTCCATGCTGACAGTAAGGTTGACAACTTCCAAGCCTGACAGGTTCCAAGAGCACTGAAAATGACGATTGCCCCCTGCCCCTGCCTGTCAAAAACAGAACAACTAAATCTGCATATATTTGTCTCACTTTGTTGCTTTTTCTCTTTAAAAAAGCTGTCCTCACACCCAGAATTTTTGAAAATGAAGTTGCTTCTATCTTTCTTCAAAGCTGGCTCTGAATAAAACCTATTTTTCTACCAAATTGCCTCTGAATGTTTCTGGAGCAGTAAAAAGCCTAGCCTCTTCCCTGCTACCAATATTTCTGCAGCCTAGTCCATCTCTACAAGAAGAAGATACATCACCTATATTCTTACCACTTCCCTCAATATGCTTCTTTCCTCCATGACCTTTTCTGTTCTCCAAGTGATCAAGCCTTCCTTAGAGTTGTTACACTTTAAGTTATCTTTGCATGGAAAGCTATTTCCTTTCATTTTCATTATGAACTCCTTATTTTTCATGGTTTAGCTTATATTTCACTCAAAGGTGAAGACTACCTAGCTAAAGCAAACTGAAAGGAGACTTCCTTCTAATAATTTAATATGGTGTTACGCTGTTTTATTTTCCTTAACCTCTAAAGCAATGGCTAAAATGAATTTATGTCTGGAATATAAATGTTATAAAAATATGAAGTACATGGGCTGGGGCTGTAGCTTAGCAGCAGAGTGCTTGCCTAGCATGTGTGAGGCACTGGGTTCAATCCTTAGCACCACATAAAAATAAACAAATAGGGCTGGGGATGTGGCTCAAGTGGTAGCGCGCTCGCCTGGCATGCATGCGGCCCGGGTTCGATCCCCAATACCACATACAAACAAAGATGTTGTGTCCGCCAATAACTAAAAAATAAATATAAAAAAAAATAAAATAAAATAAAGGCATTCTGTCCATCTACAACTACAAAAAAAAAATTTTTTTTAAAGTATGAAGTACATAGTTTGACTTTGTCTACTTTAGATTCTAAGAAAGAGAGGTTATTTCTTTTTATCTGGGTCTTGGCCTGCTTCCATTCTCATGATCAGAGGGCCAAGAAAAGGGTGAAGATCTAGAGGGAAAGCTTCTGGTAAGCCTAAGATACAGGCGGAACCAACTCATCCAAATTCACATGGTCAAAATTAGTTTGACAAGGGAAAGAAACTACAGGAGGATATGAAACTAAAACCCTAACCAACAAACAAGGCTGTCTGTTGTTGGAATGACCTCTGGTTGATATATATTCTTAGAGACTCTTTGGGGACTGGTAACAGCCAGGGCAGGTAGCTGACCAAAAAACTAGATACCCAGTCCTCCTCTCCTCTTTGGAGGCCTAAATAAGTCACAATGAAGTTAAACAGATGTGTGACAATGTACATTTAGCATTCCTATCTGTATTCTGCATTCGTGATTTCTTTTTTCTTTTTTTGCAGTGCTTGCTTGGGATCCAACCAGGGCTTCACACTTATTAGGCAAGTACTGTACCACTAAGTTACACTCTCCAACCCCTGCATTTCTAATATTTACTGTTTTTACTTCTGAGATTTAATATGTAGTATATGTATGGAACTACAATCTGATTAAATGATTTTACTAAAAATAACTACTTTCGCTGAGATCAAACAAATTTAGGTATTAATACTGATCATGAACCATACTTAGGGCTGGGGAGTTGGCTCAAAAATAGAGTGCTTGCCTTGCATGCATGAAGCCCTGGGTTAGAGCCCTAGCACGCATGTGCATGTGCACGTGCACACAAACGTGCACACACACACACAACCCACTATATTTACAGGCTAATTATAACTATTCCTAAAATCAAAATCAATGTTATTTACCTCTTTGGCATAAGAATGTATCACTCCAGCTGCTTCTATTTTCCTTTTGCATCTCTGTTTAACAGTTATACTATTATTATCCAAATCTTGCATGAGTTTAAAGAAAGCCAATTCATTAAACAACACTTCAGATATCTCCACAAGAAGGTCTTCTCCACAGTCCTTCAGTTTTCTGCCCGCAAATTTTGCCAATGAATCCTATGCATAGACAAACCAAATGATTTTAAGATCAGAGAAAACTTCACTTGTGGGCACAGCAATATACATTATTAAAAGATTAAATTATAATACTGACTTGGAGAAAATCAGTAGTATTACTTTTAAGTACTGAAAAACTTGAAACTAAGGAAAAACAGTTAATTACTAAGTTACTAGGAATTTTGCTAGTCCTGCTTAAAGATTATACAACAAGGGAAAGCAAATAATTATGGTCATCCATAATTTTAATCCTTATTAATATAATTCCTGGGCACAAACAAAACAGGGGATTCCTAATTGCAAAAAGTTTTCAGATAGTACATACTAGGCATATACCTATACTACAGTAATGAGTCATTAAATACTGTGAGAGAAAAATACAAAGTCCTCCACATCTAAATGGTATCATTAATTTAGTTTCCTCTTTATATTAACCAACCATTCATTGTAATTAGAATTTTCTTCAGAATAAGTTTAAATGTAAACTTTAGTTCAAGTTGAATTTTAGCATCATCAAATGAAAGGGACAATATTATTTTATTCTATATTCTACAGTTAAAACTACTTCCCTTTTCTTTCTTTAAAAAATATAGAATGCCATTTAGAAATAGACAAGTAAATACAAGTAATGTCCCATTACCCAAAACAAATAGTATCTAGTTCAATCATAGAAAGAAGTACTCAAAAAAAAGAAAAAAAATACTACTCAACAAGGCTGAGTGCTTTGTGAAAAAATTCTTGAACAGATTTCAAAAGGAAAACTAGACAACAATAATTTAAATTTCAGCTCATGAAAAAATTTTAATATTCTAGGTGGTATTTGATGTAAATTAACTTGTATTTTCACATATGTGCCCCTATGAAAAAAATCAGGAATGGGATGCAAAAAACACATTCGAATTTTCTTAGATTTAGATAAAAATCTTATTTCCAAATTAATGCTTTGGATTCTGCGTAAAAATAAGGGAGAGCTGTGTGGATCTTGATAAAGAAAATATGTTAATTACAAATAAATTATTTCTCTTTCAGCTAGATTCTAAAAGTTATTTCTCCCTATAGAAATAACCTGATTAAATTTACTAAAATTCATTTATATACAAGCTATCGTAAACATTTTTAATACTTCACATATTTCTGCAAGAACATTTCCATAGTCTTTTAGTTTTCTGCCAGCAAATTTTGCCAGAGAATACTATTTAAAGGATTCCTACAAAGTACACCACCACTGATGTCTTATATTCCTTATAAATTATGCACTGGCAGTATTAAGTAAAGCCTGGACAGTTTGAGCCTATTACTGAATTTATAGTTTAGTTTTAATATTAACATGATGGAAATTTGCATCTAATCCAGGGTTTAAAAAATTAACCAAGTGATAATACTATATTTCAAAAGGAAAACTAGACAACAGTAATTTAAGTTCTAGCAAAATGATAATACTATATCCACAACCAGTATAAACACAAAAAACAGAAGGCAAAATTTCATAGGAAAATTATGCAATAAAATGAAATTAAAGTGTATTGTCTAATTTGGAGTAACAACATCTTACTGAGCCATCTCAATGGGAAAATGTTAGGTAAAATGTAACAGTAAAAGTGTCTGACATAAGGAGAAATAAAGTTTTCTTATTTAACACAGGATTTTTCAACCTGTCCCCCTTTTTTTATGGTGCTGGAGACTGAACGCAGGGTCTTAAGTATGCTGGGCAAGCACTCTACCACTGAGCACACCTCTAGACCTCAAACTGGACATTAATGATTAATTTAAAGTTATATAATTCTGTTATGAGAGACTGCCCTGTACATTGTAGGACATTTAGCAACATGTTTGACCTTTATCTAGTACTTCCCCTCCCACTTCCCTATCTCCCTGTATCATACCTGCTGTATGGTATTCATAAAATGTCTTTAGACATTGTCAAATGTCTCCTGGAAGGCAAAAATCTCCCCTAGTTGAGAACCACTGCCTTGATATAAAGTTACTGTACATATGAATATAGAATATGGATTACTAAAAGCTGGGAAACATTGGAGGGAAGGGGGATACAGGAGGTCAGCTGATGGGTACCAAAAGGAAGTTCAATAGAAGGAATAAATATTTGTGTTAGAAGCACAGTGAGATAACTACAGTTCACAATAACCTATTATATACTTTATGAAGATCTAGAAGACAGGAGTTCAAAGTATCTAAACATAAAGACATGATAAGAAAAGGGAAATGCTAATTACTTTGATCTGATTAGTGCTAAAAAGTTTTTACAATTGATAACTGGTTTCCAGCTTCTAAAATTTCCTAAATTAGTCAAAAACTATCTTAGAAAAAGTCACAGAACATTTTAAACTTAAAACATTCTTACTGGGTAGAGAAAAAGAAAATCAAACCAATAGATTTTTAAGTTGGATACATGTAATTCCTAATATTTTTTTAATGAAGAAATAAACTAAAAAGTATTTAAAAGGCTGCTAGAATGAATGACTACTGAAATAAATCATGTAATGCCAGAAAATAGAAAAAAAAAAAGAACAAAACAAAAAAACCCCACCAAAACCAAACTAAAACAAACTAACCAGGTGGTAAGACATAGAAGTATAAACTCTTACTTGTAATATACTTCCAAGTTGCTTATGAAAGAACTTCACAAACTCCTTGCTCTCATCATTTTGCTGGGTAAGGGTCAATACCATGCGTCTTACTGAAGTAAGAAGCTGAGAAGAGCATATTTCATCCATGTGCTCCTAAGAAAAATCCTAGTTGGTTAGGATATACACTTATCTACTATTTAAAAATTTTTAATCCATACATTATGAAATTTCATTTCTCTTGCACAAATAATTTTCACATACACATTTTTAGAAAGATTCACTCATGAGAGCAAACTCCCACCCTACACATATTGAGTTTTGCAATTTTGACCAACATAACAGTTAAAAGCTAGTAAAATATTATTACCTTTTATCATTTTCTTTCTGTATTAAAGAGAACTATCCATGCTATAGTTCCCATCTGCATGTCTTTCTGTTTATAAAGTTCAATTAATTTCAACTACTTTTACAACCCATTCTTATTATCTTCTAATTCAGGGTTTCTCAAACTTCATATGATAGACATCCTGTATATCACAGGATGTTTTGAAGCACACTGGCTTCTCTATCCATTAAATGTTAGTTATACTACTCTCCAAAATATCCACAACCTTGGCCCCATCCTAACAATGAAAATTGTCTCTAGATGTTATGAAATGTCTTGAATCAACAATAACCTCTAACTTTCTTAACAAGCCACTTTAGGTATGCTTCTTTTCTTTTTTATATATTTTTAAAATGTCAATGGACCTTTATTTCTTTATATGCGGTGCTGAGAATCGAACCCAGTGCCTCACACATGCCAGGCAAGCACTTTACCACTGAGCCACAACCCCAGCCCCAGGCATGTTTCTTACTGTCCTTTAAAATTATGTGTGAACTACAAAATAATCTGAATTACCATTAATTTTTTAACATATATATATCATATATATATATCATATATATATATATATATGATATATATATATTTTAGTTGTGAATGAACCTTTATATTTATTTATTTTTAATGTGGTACTGAGAATAGAACCCAGTGCCTCACACATGCTAGGCAAGTGCTCTACCACTGAGCCACAACCCCAGCCCCTACCGTTAACTTTCTGAGATGAGTCTAAAGAACATCTATTATCAAGTAATCTCCAAGACAGCAAAGGGCTTGATTTGTTCACTGCTATGTTCACAAAACAAGACATAAAGTAGACATTCTACAAATATTTTTGAATGAATAATAAATACTGTGTAATCATTAAAAACATGTAACAGAAAAATAATAATCTTCAAAGATGTTTTAACAAATGAAAAAAGCACTATGCATGTGTACAAAATAGTACAAAAAAGGCTCACAAAATGTTGCTGGGGCTATCTCTGGGTGAAAACTAATGGGTCCTTTTTGGCTTTTTTCTTTTGTTTACTTGTATTTTAAGGATTTACTATAATGAAGTTTTTTGAATGACTCAAAAATCAAAATACAGAAAGTTAGTTTATCTTCTAGAAACAATAAGTTTACCTTCAAAAAAGGAATGACTTCTTTCATAATTGCTTTGATCTGTCGATCCAGCTGCTGAGTATCAATTCTAGGACACGGGATGCTAGAAACTTCACTTACAGGTTGTTGTGAACTATGATTTTCAATAATGGGAGTCTCTATTTTTTAAGAAAAATGATACATTAACAAAATGAAGCCTATGACACTATACATATGTATTTATGCCACATTTTAAAGAATGTTTAAATTATGATAATTTTATGCTAAAAAAGGAAATATATGCAGTTTTTAGTAGTCCAAACAATTAAGAAAAAGTAGTAAAAAAAAAAAATTATTAATATGCCAGGTAGAGCCTTTAATTGTTTCAAATACCCTAATCAATCTAAAACATACCTTCTGAATTATTAATTACAGTGGTGGCGGAAGCAGCATCTGCATCCTCAATAACTCTGCAGGTGCATCTCATATTTGAGTTACTTTCGGCCTCAGTCTTCATACGCTCATATTCTCTCATTCTGGCTAATGCCTGATCTAAGTGAATCACTGTGTTACCTGCATTTGGAACAGAAATATTTTTAGTATTCATAAAAGAAACTTTTCACGTATTTCTAAAAAAATAATGTTTGAAGTAAAGAAAATTAGCTTTAAACCAGTTCTATATTAATGGGAAACTTTCTTTACATCATCACATTTATTTACCTAATCTTTACAGTAAGTAACCCTATAAAGTAGGAAACAGTGTTTTCATTTTCAGAGAACTTAAGTAACCTGTCAAAAAGATTTCATAGTCGAGCATAAAAGTAGTGATTTAAACTCACGTTGATTATGAAACCCATTTTGTTCACTATGTTTCATTTAAACAGTAAAAAGAAAATAAATTCCAAAATATCACAAAAATTCTACAGAAAATGATCCAAACTAACACAAGCAAATAAGGTAAGGAAAAAGCCTATCAATGAGAGTTCCTAATTCTCCTATGTCCACTTCAAACAATGCTAGCAGTGAAGGGTTGTTGAAAAAGAAAAAAAAATCAGTAAAAGAAAGAATATAGCCAACACTTTAAAAGTTAGTAATTCAGAAAGGGAAGGATAAGCAAAGAGGGAAAGAGTTCATCGTGGAAAACTGCCTTTGAAATCATATCAATCATCTTCTCCTCATATGAACAACTAGAATAATGGCACATGAGATTATTTTATCAACAAAGTGCCCTGGAGATCTGAATTACTGACGATTTTGATATCCTTTAATAGGCTGCAGCATAGAAAAATGTTATCAGGTATATTTTCTTTCCTCTGATTTCCTTTCTAAGTTTAGCACTGAAGTTTTGTTTTGTTTTTTAAAGTTATGTAAATTCTTTTTACTACTCATGGGGGAAAAACATAATGTGCCATGCTTTAACATTACCTGAAATTTTTATATAGGTTATTTATGCCAAGAAATGTGAGTTCTTACCTCACACTATGAAGTTAATATTTTTAGTGAAAATGTGTTTGAATAGGTCTGAAGTTCTCCCATTAATTTACTAGGTTTCCTTTAAGGAAACTTTACTTTAAGGAGAAGGAAATTAACATTTTGAACTCTTATTATTCATGCTAGAAAGTTACATACATTTTCCCCAACAATACAGTAAGGTATACAGGATCCCTGCTTCCTTAGTATTTGCAGAATCATAAAGATTAGAAGATCTGCTCAAGGTCGAAGAGTTAAGAGTACTGAAATTAGACTTGAGACTTTTAGGTCCATATTCTTTAAAATGCATATTGCCTTTCCAGTTGTTTCTTTCTTTTTTTTTTTTTTTTTGAGTTGTAAATGGACACACAATATATTTATTCATTTATTTTTTAAAAAAATATTTTTATTAGTTATTGATGGACCTTTATTTATTTATTTGTTTGTATGTGGTGCTGAGAATCGAACCCAGGGCATCACACATGCCAGGCAAGCGCTCTACCACTGAGCCACAGCCCCAGCCCCAATCTTTATTTTTATGTGGTGCTGAGGACTGAACCCAGTGCCTCACACATGTGAGGCAAGCACTTTACCATTGAGCTACAGCCCTAGCCCGATCCAGTTGTTTCCTTATTAATGCAATTCAAAGACTGCATGAGATCAACTTAAACTCATATTGAGATGATAAAAAAAAATGCACTTACCAAGATCATCTGTTGCAAAAGGTTCAAAATTTGAAGATACAGACATGACACTAACATTATCAGCATCATTTTGTTCACTTATTTTATGTGTTTCTCTTTCAAAGTTCTTCTCAAAAGTTTCCTAAGTTATAATAAAATAAACAAAAATCACTAATATTTCCTTAAAACATTTTATAAATATTAAAGATCTAACAAGGAAACAGTATTTGCATAACATTATACATCTTAAAGAGATATTCCATCCAAGCAAAACTGTGACAATCAACGTTACTAAAGGATAAATGCAAAGTCACAGAAAATACTAAAATATTAAGGAACCTTACAGAACACTTTTCATGTAGCTAAAAAGTCAGCTGATCAAAAATTCTAAACTGACAAAATTAACTTTTAATTAAAATTTAAATTATTCCTACATCTTTATGGACATTCTCTTATCTCCAAACTCTAACAATATGTAGTACCTTACTTTAACATTGTCTCATATTAAAAGAAACAAAAAAGTATAATTAATATTTTTTAAAAGTAGTATTTTATTTATTAAATATAATTTACATACAATAATGCACCCACTTTAAGTGTACCGTTTGAGGAATAATGACAAAAGATACACTTCTATAAACAGTTTTCTGAAAATAAAGATCACTTCCACCAGCCCAGAAATTTCCTTTGTACCTCTTTACAATCAATCCCATTGTACCCCAATTATATGATTTCTTTCACTACAGATGTGCTTTGCTTGTTCTAGAATTTCATACAAATGGAACATACAGTGAATACTCTTTAGTGTACTTTTGCTCAGTGTGTTTCTGAAATTAATCCCCAATTGTTGTGTGTTTCAGAAGTTCGTCATTTTTTAACTGCTGTATTTTTTATCCACCGTATTCCCTTGTGTGGATATATCAGTTTATCCATTCATCTCCAGTTTGAGGCTATAATGACTAAAAAGATGCTGTGAATATTAGTGTACAAGTATTTTTGTGGATATGTTTTCACTTCTCTTGAATGAATACCTAGAAGAAAAATTGCTGGTTCATATGTCAAATTTATGTTCATCTTTAAAAGAAACCTCCAAACTTCTTTCTAAAGTGGTTATACAATTTTACATTCCCCACAAGCAGTATAAAAGAGTTTCAGTTGTTACATGTTCTAACCAACACTTCTTATGGTCACATCTTTTAAATTTTAACTATTTTAGTGGGTGTGAGGTAGTATCTCATACAGTTATAATTTGCATGCTAGTAATTTGAAGCATCTGTTAAAACTTCCTGGCAATTTTTTTACTAAGTTGTCTTATAATGAAGTTGTAGAGTTACTATGTAGGCCAGCCTCTCCTAACACTACCTTTTGAAAAGCAGAAAGTTTTATTTTTATAAAACCTAATTTTCATTTTTTTCTTCTATAGTTAGTCCTTTTTGTGTTACTGGACATGCTGGGAATTTACTCTAATCCCAGTAACTTGGAAGGCTGAGGCAAGAGGATCTCAAGTTAGAGGCCAGCCTTAGCAATACAGCAAGACTCTGTCTCAAAAAATAAAATGGGCTGGGGATGAAACTCAGGGGTAAAGTACTCCTAGGTTCAATCCCCAATATTAAAAAAAAAAAGCAAACATACAATGACAAAAAATCCCCCCCCAAACCCCAATGTCTATTATTATTGGGGTTTCTCCCCCAATGATATCATTGGGAGGATTCTCCCCCATTTCCTCTTAGAGAGATTTTATAGGTTTTAGTTTTTATAGGACTCTGTCATTTTAAATTAATTTTGTGTACAGTGTGATAGAGAGGTTATTTATGTCTCATTTATATTCTGACTGAAACATTCAAAAAGTATGTTTTTTCCATGTTCTTAAAAATAACTAGCTATTGATCTTTTATTTTAAGTTACCATCATAGCAGAAAAGTCCCTACAGGAAACTGCTATAAACACTGAATGATGTGTTGCTGCCGGTAAAATGACATTGGTAGAAAGATATTGACATTAATGCTGAATTTAAGTTTTGAAAGAAAAAGTAAATAAACTGTATTTAATTTTTTTTTTTAAATTGTAAGCTTTTTGTTTCAAGTCCCTACTTATTTAAGTAGAACACTGTTTACATTTTACTGTAGATTTAAAATCCTGTCAACTTTATCTTAAATTTAGTCCAATTTTCAAAATTTGCTATTGATGGTGCAGACCAATGTGCTCAAATCTTTCAAAATAAATGAAAATAATGCTGCCTATATGACAATATGAAACTTGGATAATAAGGAGAGGTACTAGAGTTAGGGATACAAAATTACTGAAAAAGATCTTTTAGAACAGACTTTACATTCTCTTCCAAACTATTACAATGTCCAATAAACTTTAATCTAATCTAATCTATTTTTTATGCATATAATTCACAAAAAGGAGCGCACATTTTCAGTTAACTATAATAATGATTTATCCAAAGGCGTACTTCTTAATTTATATGTGAATTGTATAGTCAATGAAAACCATGTAGTTTTAGACACAGGTTTCGGTTAACAATAGCTTAGAAGTTAGATCCTAGTGGAGAAAGATTTTAAGAAGAAAAAAAAATACATAAAGAAGTATTGTTTTCAACAGGAGTTTAAGCTAAAGAGAAACATTAGAAAAAGTCCACAATAGTTCTAAGGAACTTAGTCTATCAGAAGAAGAGATAAAATAATCTTAAGGAAAAAAATCAAGATCTTCTCAAAAAACTGTGTGTTAGGGGCTCAGTAGTAGAGCACTTGCCTTGCATGTGTGAGGCATTGCGTTTGATCCTAAGCACCACATAAACATAAATAAACTAAAGGTATTATGTCCATCTAAAACTACAAAAATATTAAAAAAAGACTTTGTGTTAATATTTCAACACCATAGTATGATTCCAACTTTCTACCTAGAGCAAATATTTGCGAATCAAATCTTCATATGTTAAGAGTTGTCCTTAAAAAAAAAAAAGAAAGAAAAAGTGTATTTGCTATCCCAGGACCATATACATCTTTTATAATAGAATCAAGACACTTTAAATAGGTTATTTCCAAAAATACCTAGTACATTATCTCCTTAGTATGGTAGCAATTTTTGAAGAATTTTTTTATAACTTTAATTAATTAATTTAATGTGGTGCTGAGGATCAAACCCAGTGCCTCACCCATGCTAGGCAAGTGCTCTATCACGGAGCTACAGCCTTAGCCCCCTATGGTAGTGATTTTGTTACCTAAGTCATTCCATCAAAATTATGCACACTAAGTACTATTTTCTATCATGCTCCTCACACTCCTCTACTTTTCCAGGGCCTTTTTACTTCATTGAAAAATTTCTCCAAGTTGGGCTGGGGTTGTGACTCAGTGGTAGAGCACTTGCCTAGCACGTTAAGCACTGGGTCTGATTCTCAGCACTGCATATAGATAAATAAATAAATTAAATGAAGGTTAAAAAATTTTTTCAACAAATGTAATACATTAAATTACATTTTCCCTTGATGATTTTCTTTTTTCCAGGCTCTTTTTCACCAAAAGACCTGATTTATCCTGTACTAAGCAAGGGTTTTTACTGTGATTGGTTTACTCAATGTTTGAAGGCACACGAGCTGCATTTATTAGATGTCTGTTACGAATCAGCTCCTATGTTATTATCTATCATTTATGCAGAATATTTTGGTATTTCCCAACATATTTTGATTGTATTTTCTATTTCACCCTCAATATAAAGTAATAGATTACACTCATCTCTTTTTTTAATGCAAAAATTAAGCCAGAATCAGTGACACAAGCCTGTAATCCCAGTGACGTGGGAAGCTGAGGCAAGAGGATCGCAAGTTCAAAGCCAGTCTCAGCAATTTAGCTAGGCCTTAAACAATTTAGCGAAAACCTGTCTCAAAATAAAAAATAAAAAGGGATAAAGGATATGGTTCAGTGGTTAAGAGTCCCTGGGTTTAATCCCCAGTACCAACCAACCAACCAATAAACAAACAAACAAACAAAATTTAAAAAGCTAAAAATTGAATATATTACACATATTCACAGTTTGACAACAACCTATTTAACTTTTGTTCACTGCATACTGAAATTATGTCCATGTTTTTCTAATTATTATCAGCTTACATCATCAGTAGTAGCAAGGCTTTCACTGGGAGTAAGCTCTGAGTTTGAAGCTATCCAAGTACCAGAGTTCACTGACTTTACATTTTCCCCTTCTTTTTCATGGTTTTCAGAAATATGTCTCGATACTATATCCTAAATAAAGAAATAAAATATTTATGAAAAAACATAAGGCTTAATTCCAAATTTATCTTACAAATGGAAAAATAAAGATAGTACTTCTTATCTCACAGGTTAAGTGTAAGAAATAACATTAAAGATGAAACATGGCAAAATTACAAAGACTATCTATAATCCACTTATGCTATACAATAATTTTTAAATAAAATGTCAAGAAAAACAAATCAAAATACATGTAGAATTAGGACATGCTTCAGTCTAAAAAAGTAACCAGACATTATCATGAAGTAAGGTGATAATAGATAGGGTTGGAAAAAGAATGATACCTGCAATGCATATAAAGCCCTCTGCCTTAAGTAGTCTGTATTAAGTAGTTGAAGCTCATGGAAGAGTTCAATAAGAAAATGTGGGCGAGATTCATTTTGAGATATTAAAGTAGCCACTTCAGAATAAATAGTATCCCGCAAAGCTTCAAACATAGAACAATCACTCCCAGTTTCTGGAAGATACAAAAAATCAGGAAGTTAAAAAAAAAAAAATCAGGAAAGTTAATACTGATAAAATATCTTCATAACAATTCTTTTCATTTATGTCCTTACTTTAAGCTTTAGATTTCTTAAAAATTAGAATATATTTCTGTTGCAGGACATTTCAAGTAGAAAAATAAGATTAAAATTACCAAAAACAATCTGAAAATATAAAAATCAACACTATATATTAAAGAAATACTGAAATTCATGGATAACATGAATCACTATATAAAACCCCATTTATTTCTCAATAAAAAACATTTGGAAAATTTTATATACTTCATGGGGGAAAAAAAAATCAGTAAAAATTTTTCAGCACTTGAATGAAATAAGTTCAAATAATCTGCCTTGTTTTTTGCTAATATGAACTTTATAACAGAAAAGAAAATCTGTTTATTTTTAATGTTGAGAACTGCTAACAAAAGCTACTATCTTAAGGTCTATATGGTTATTAGGTTTACTAATTTTCAAATTTCATCTACAATTCCGAAAAGTGCTATACTGATAAATAACTAAATTTATAACATAACAGATCAATTTTACTACAGTATTTTATTTACATTCTCAGTATTAACTGAAGCAGGCAGTGACCTAACTGAAGTTTTTGGTTTCCCCGAATTTCAGCATCTCTATCATTAAGCTACAATTCTACTATATGTATTTGTTGATAACATGAAATGATAACTCTCAAATGTACACAGTCATACTCTTAATTTTAACAGTTCTTAACTAGGAACTATTCCCACTGAATTCTCTCTGGAGGGGGAAAAAAAAATCTCCAAGTGGTTTTCCTAGCTAGCAAATTCTGTAAACTTTATAGAACAATACTAGAACTTCAAGAAGCCAGTCTCAAGTTCTGCAAAAATCAGGAATACCTCAGAGAACCATGCTTTCAAAAAGTATGTAAAGAGCATGAATTTAATTGATTTCTGAGAGAGAGAGAGATAAGGAAATGCAAAAGGAATGTGCTCTAATGGAAGAACTTTCTGCTAAGTAAGTAACTGAACAACTTCAGGTCTCAATTTCTGAAAGCATAAAATAATAGTAATACAAAAATGCAATTTTCCTATCTTGCCTCAGATAGTCATGAATATAAAATGAAATGAAATGCTGAAGTTTTCTTAGTAGTTTTAAAATGTTCAAATGTGACATATTATAAAAGTGACATTTACTATAAGCAGAAACCAAAACTTCCTTTAAGAAACCTCTACTTATAGTAAAATTCCAAATATGATTTGATATACTATCCTGTTCTTTAATCATAGTTGTTTGATCTTGAAAATGTTTCTTTCAAAGGTAAAAAAAACAAAGGGTTTAATGACATCTTTAATATCAATATGAGATAAAATTGTCACTCTAAATTTAAAAAATTATTTCTACATAATGAATTATCCTTCCTTCCCTTCTACAGTGATGGAAACTGTATGCCAATTTCTCCTCCTAGATTATTAATTAGCTTTTGCTAGGAAAGTCCCTGATCTTGGTCAAGTTTCTCTGATCCTATTTTGATTTTATACTATTTTGAGAGTTCTTTTCTTTGGAATTACCACTGATATTTTTTGTCAGTTCTGGGTCCTTTACAGTTTCCTAAAGGTTCAAAAAGTCTTTCATTTTTTCACTCGTGTAGGAGGAGTTGAAGAATATTAACAATGCTAAATCATAAAGAACCATATTTAATCAAAATAGTTTACAGAGCAAAATAGTTTTCTTGAATTTTTCTAATTTCCATCTTGTATCTTTATCACAGTCTGTCATAGTTGTTTTGTTTGATGGCTTCTTATTTTTCAATAGATATTAACTGGTGATAAAAAATAACTATAATATAAAAATATCTGTTTCAAAAATATTAATGTTTTGAAATATTCAAGAAATATAAAATAAGTAACTTTAAAAAATAGTTTCTATTACCCTTATAAATATATTGATTAGGTTTCATACACTAACTGTAAAACAAGAAAAGCAGCCAATTTTACCAATCAAGAATTTAAAATAAAAGACTTCAGAATTTTATGAATATGAACTTTTTCATTTTTATAATAGTCAAATAACATACACTAAGCTAAATTGTAAAAAAAAAAAAAAAATCAGAACAACATAACTAAGAATTTTAGGACCAATGGGAAAAAATTCACAAAAGTGGACACCAAAACTAAGCAGATTGTTACCTGGCGCTTCATTGCATGCATTTCTGTTAGATTGCTGTAGTAGTATTCTCCTAGCATGTGCTGTAGGAAAGGGCAGACATAAGGATGAACATAAAATGTGTATGAGTAGTAAAGACAGGGTCTATAATATGAATAAGTGAATGAAAAAAAGAATTAAGCGAAATTTTAAAAAATTTGCCTAAGTGAAATGTTATCACAAGGTATGGTTTATTGTTCTATTTAAAAATAATCTCATTAGGGAAAATCTCAAAAGGTTTACTATTATAAACTTACATTACTGTGACTGATGATGACTATCCTAATAAACTTTTATCATTTATTTTTATGAAGCATACACATTAAGATGAACCTCCTATATAACTCCTATAAGAGAAAAAAACTGCATAATCCAATACTAGCAGTTACTACACTCTAATAATCACATAATATGGGTAGAATAACAAGTGTTAGTATACAATGTACAAAATATTTTAGAGAATGGTTAAAATGAAAAAAATCTCTTTTGGGGAATGTAAGGGAGTACTAATTTATACTACTCAGAACATTGTTAAATTCACCAAAATTCAAGCATTACGTTTTTTTCAAATGACAATAAGGTCTAAAGTACCACTATGACTATCAATGATTTAAGTAATGCCTTTCAATTTAGTACCCTTCCCAACTTCTACCCACTATTTACTCTTTAAAGATGTCACTATTTGATAAAGAAAATAAAAGGAGATGAAAATTGTAAAGTTTTGATAAAATTCTGGGTCAGGAACAATAGAACTATTATTTTTGCTAAAAGGAACCTGAACTTAATGCTTCAAAATTCAGCACTATCATCTCCTAACAATATGAGCTACAGAAAGTCATTTCAAAATACAAGCAAATGTGATTTTTTTTTAAACCTGAGTAATAAGTACTCATTATTAAAAGTCTTAGAACTTACAGAAGATGATTAAACTGTTAACTTTTTTTTTTTTTTTTTTGATACTGGGGAATGAACTCAGGGGCACTTGACCTCTGAGCCACATCCCCAGCCCTATTTTGTATTTTATTTAGAGAGAGGGTCTCACTGAGTTGCTTAGTGTCTCACTTTTGCTGAGGCTGGCTTTGAACTCACAATCCTCCAGCCTCAGCTTCCCAAGCTGCTGGGATTACAGGCAGGCATGCACCACCACTGCACCTGGAAAACTATTAACATTTTGATGCATTTTCTTCCAGTCTTTTTAAATTCATGTTTCTGTTTACATATAGAAGGAATCATACACTGTTCAAACAACACTAAATGTTGATTTCTTTTTCATTCTGTTTCCTTAAGATAGGTACCAATAAGAACAATTACTGGGTTAAGGATATAACTTTTGAAATCTTCTGCAAAAGTTGTACCAATTTATATTACTAGTTCTTTATAAGTGATAGAAAAGACAGTACCCTGATTCCTCATCAAAAAATGGAAACAAAGCCAACTTAGCATCATAAGTCTCAAATGATATGTAAAAAATTCTGAAAACAACAAAATACATCAATTTTGAAAAATTTTAAGAATAAAGCATAATATATATAATTTCACCTGACCTTATTAACATATTAGTCTATAATTCCTGACTCCCTTTCCATATTTGTTTGAGACGTCTTTATAAATCAGAAAAGTACTAGTACTTATTTAAACTAAGATGGTGGTAAACATATATGACTCCACTGAACCACGTATCTGGTATTATGCTGGAATTTAAGACGTAAATTATCCATTGCCAAGGAACTTGGAAAGGTGATAAAGATATTTAAGTAGGTACATATTACATAATATGATACAGGCAACAAAATAGTTTTATATAGGCAACAAAGTAGGTTTATACAGGCTCCAATGGAAACAAAAAGGAGAAATGGAAGTTATTCTGGCTTGAATTCAAATAAAATTTCAGGGTCCCAAATAAAAATTTTATGTAGGAGTCTAGCATTAAAAAGGGCTTATAGGGTTGGGGTTGTAGCTCAGCAGTAGAGTGCTCGCCTAACATGTGTGAGGGCCTGGGTTTGATCCTCAGCACCACATAAAGATAAAATAAAGGTATTGTGTCCATCTACTAATAAAAAATAAATATATATTTTTTTTTTTTAAAAAGGGCTTATAAAGGGCAAAAAAGGACTTGAGGCAGAAAGTACAACTGGTAAGGTAAGAAACAGTGTTAACAGCCACGAGAAAACTTTAGATCCCAGTCACTAAAAGAATAAAGTTCAAGGTGGTGAGAAATGAGTCTGGAAAGGCAAGATGGAACCAAGTCCCCAATGGACATATATGTTAAATTAAGGCATTCATACTTTATCTAATAGGCATGGTAAAGACAAAGTTGTAAGCAGAGGAATAACAGGATTTTGTATTAAGCTTTTAAAAAAAAAAATTATTTTTTAGGTGTAGACAGACACAACACAATGCCTTTATTTTTATGTGGTGCTGAGGATTGAACCTGGGTCCTGCCCGTGGTAGGCGAGTGCTCTACCACTGAGCCACAATCCCAGCCCTGTATTAAGCTTTTAATTATATAAGATTTTGGAATTTCAAATTGGGAGTTCCATGTTAATGTCAACTATTCATGAATTGCTTAGGAATAAGTTTATTAAAATGTGTCAAAAAGTATCATTACACAACACAAAAGCATTTCCAGCTTATATTTCTTAATATCAAGAAATGTGTACCATAATCTCGACTACATAAAATCTCATACATGATAAAAATGAGATAGGGTAATTTTAAAACTTGCTTTAATAAGGCTTTTCAAATCCAAGATGAAGAACTCTTTAAATTAAAGCAAATTTAAGAAGAGAACATACCTGAAGATATTTCTGTAGACCTATTATATTTTATTATTTTTTCCAGCTGTTCATGATTCTTTCTGCTGAATACTTTTGCTTGAACAGGCTCTTCAGTCTGAGCTGAATGTCTGTTCCTACTTTTGCAAGGTTCACATGTGCTAGACATACTGGCACTTTCATATCCTTTAGTTTAAAAAAAAAAAAGTTATAGCTGTTACCAGTTGCAGCAACTCAGAGTGAAAGAGAAATCGATTTCCATAGTGAAATAGTTCAAGTAACTCAATTTATAGTTTCTATGAAGGCCTGGTATCAATTGAACATAATACACTAATATTATCTTGGAGCTATCTTTGCAGAAACCTTTGGAAGCATAGGGTAATAGTAATAAACACTTCACTAGCTTTTGACACTTGCATTAAAGACTTTATCCCATTTCAAAATATAGTACAAGGCAGACCTTATACCACCAAATGCTCTACCGGACTCCAAGTTAACAAGTTTTCAGTATTGGAAAAACAAGAATCATATTCAATCTATATAAATATCCATAATAAAGTGTACTGGGCATTAGTCAAATATGTCTGCCTTTCTTATTTATTATATATTTTATGCAAATGACTTGGTTTAAAAAGACTTACCCACCCGCAGGTTATACATATATTCTACTACATTTTCCTTCTATGTATTTTTTTCCCCGCCCACATTCATTTTGCTATATGGTACAAGGTAAGAATTCAATTTTTTTTGTTGTTGTGGTTTTACATAGGTAATTGATTATACCAACCCTCTCTTCACTGAATTAAAATGTGTATTGGCTAATATATTAAACCCTCTCATATTTACTAGATTTTATTTATTTATTTACTTTGGTGCTAGGGATTGAACTCAGGGGCACTTTGTCACGGAGCCACATCCCCAAACTCATTTTGCATGAGCCCAGACAGGGCCTCACTGAGTTGCCTACCGCCTCGCCTTTGCTGAGGCTGCCTTACCATGATCTTCACATAAAACACATCAGAAATAAGGGAACGATTGCCACATTATTATATAGAATGACATAATTGAAAGTATTGTTGGTGGTGTCATTTAATAGCACACAATGCTCTGAAGAAAAAACCATTTAAGCACATTATTCTAACAAGAATGTTTTTATAAATGAAAATAAGCTTTTGATTGCTAATACTGAATCACATGAAAAAATGCTAAATAAATTTAAATTACAATGCAGGTTACTTAGCATATATAAAATTATCTCTGGGGGAACCCCACTAGGTACTTTAAAAAAGATATACATACAAGGACCAAAAAAAAAAAAAGAAAGAAAGACAAATACATACATATATACAGCTAACCCTCCCTCCCAAACAACCAAAAATGTGACATGAAACATACCACAACTAAGATGCTATAAAGAAAGAAGAAGAAAAAACTATTGTTTTATATATGAGACCCAAATTTAAAATATCAAAGGCTGGATTTCTGAAGTTGAGCTACTAACGTGTGATTGAACTGGAGAGCACTTTATAGTAATCCTCCAGGAGCAGCAGAAGAATTTAATGAATGTTAACAGTACAGAATAACACTGGCTAGGTCAGCTAGTGTAACAGCAGCAAGAATAATACATGAGGTTCATTACTTTAAGGGTGTGATCTTCTACACCACTTCACTACTCTTTCCTCTATCTCCATTTTTTTCTCAGTATGAGTGGTTCATATAATTAGAAGAAATAGTACTTCTATATGGCCCTCCTTTGAAGGGAAATGGCTTAGCCATGGCCCCTTAAAGACCTTACATGTTTCAAAACAGGATACCAGATGTAAGGACTAAACCACTGCTGAATCTAATTCATGGCAGAAAATCATGTGACCCTCTTGGAATACAGAGCTTCTATGTGATCATTCCCTACTTGCTGTCTTCTCTCCCTGGGAGGCTATTAGTAGATAGTTTTGCATTGCCACTCAGGTTCTGATGAAACATGAAATCTTTCTACCTCACTCCTGAGGGGACATCTGCAGACTATTAAATGCCTTAACTGCATGCAGTACATCTCTGATTCTCAGCAATAGGGTGTCCTACCACTGAGGTTACAACTGCCATTTGGCACCTCTTGTTTCAGTTTTCCTCTTTTAAGTGTGAGACAAGGGAGCTGGCATCTCTGACTACTCTTCGTTTCTCAGGCCTTACCTTACCTTTTTTTTTTTTGAGATTCGGTCTCACTAAGTTGAACTTGTGATCCTCCTACTTCAGCCTCCTGAGCCACTGAAATTATAGGCGTGCACCACCACAAAAGGCTCCCTTGCCTAATTGTTATTTATTTATTTATTTATCTATTTGTTTATTGGAATGAACTCAGAGGCACTCAACCACTGAGCCACATCCCCAGACCTGTTCTGTATTTTTATTTAGAGACAGGGTCTCGCTGATCACCTCTCTTTTGCTGAGACTGGCTTTGAACTCTGGATCCTCCTGCCTCAGACTCCTAAACTGCTGGGATTACAGGCACGCAACACTGTGCCTGGCTTGCCTAATTCTTTACATCTGTTTAATGTGAGTAATAAGAGAGGGTGGAGGAAAGACATAAAAACATAAATAGAACCCTGAAGTCAGTACATTAACAAGTCTGTTCAATTTTCCAAGAAAAGAAGGAAGAGGTGAAGATATAGACTATGGACCTATTCCCCCTCAAGAATATCAAAACAGGAAACTGGCCTGGTAGAGTGTCACCAAATATCCGATAACTGAAAAATTCAGCAAAGCAGGAAATCACCTTCAGCTCATAAGATTTAAATCTGAACTGAAGCAGAGAAAATGAATTTTATATAATTTGTAAATTCTTGCCTCACAAATAGTTAAAATAATTGCCACCATCTGAATGAAATAAGTGAAGATTTAGCATTCCATTCAATGAAAGAATATCAGTAAGTGCAAAAAATATATATAAACAGTTAAGTCTAGTAAGTTTGGGACAGTAAACTAGCTGTCTCAATTGTCTCAAGATAGCAACTTAAGTACCACTGTGCTGGTCTATTTGTAATATGCTTTTTCCTTTCCAAATTCCTGTTAGCATGCTTCATCCCAATTCTATATTCTACATTCTTATTGTTACTCTGATTTGGAAAGTTTCTCTCTCGTCTGACCCCATTACTACTTTTTTTTAAGATGCAAAAAGCATCCTTTTCTTGTAACTACTGTTGGCCATTTCCTTTCCAAACAGAAAAAAAAAAATCAATCAATGACCTATCTCAGCACTTCTCAAGATTTTGTTTTTTAAAAATAATTTTAGTTGTAGATGGACACAATATCTTTATTTTGTTTATTTAGTTTGTTTTGTTGTTGTAGTTTTTTTTTTTTTTTTTTTTTTTTTTAAATGTGGTGCTGAGGATAGAACCCAGTGCCTCACACATGCTAGGCAAGCATTCTACCACTGAACCACAACTCCAGCTCTACTTCTAGACTTTCATGTGTGTATCTTCACACAGAATACATGGAATCTTGGTAAAATGCATAATTTTACAAAATGTATGATTTTGTTAGTATATGAGTGCCCAAAACCTCCATTTTGATTTATGTTCCCAGATGATGCTGATTTGCTTGTCCATATCTCACATTTTGAATAGCAAGTATTTAGCTGACTAATGTGATTCTGCTACATATTAATCTGACTTTGCTAGATACTATTTGATTCTGTTATTGAATCTTTTATTTTTGTATGTGTGATTAAAGTGGTACTCTCACTAACAGAGGGTCTTGAATGCTTGTTGAACAAATACAAAAGTTTGTTTTGGCAGGCATTTGTAAACTTAAATATGAAGGAAGAAAGCATAAAGATGACAATGTCAACCCCTGCCTTAAAGTTAAAGATTATGTTATATATATATGGAATTGAAATTTCTCAGAATAAAGCTGTTTACAAAAACTCCAAACACATCAATATTTCTAGGCTTAGGGAGACATGGCCCTAAATTGGCAAGGGTTCTCTAAAACTCTGCTACTCAAGGTGTGCTCCACAGATCAATATTGGTAATACCCAAGTCTGTTAGAAAGGCAGACCCCCAGGATCCTTCCAGGCTACGTGAACTAGAATTTGCAATTAAAACAGATTCTGAAGGAGTCTTGTGTGAAACATTAAAGTCTAAGAATCAATGCCCAAAATTTAGCAAGGCCCAGAGCAACTTAGCGAGACACTGTCTCAAACAAATAAAAAATAAAAAAGGGCTGGGGATGCGGCTCTATGGTAAAGTACACCTGAGTTTAATCCCTGTTACCAAAAGAAAGAAATCACTGCCCCAGCACTCTCGAATCCCCTGGCTGAATCAGAGAAAGCTAGAATAAACCATTTTTATGGGAGCAAGGCATTTGGGGAATAAAGTTATATGACTATTCGAAGGGCCTCTCTCAAAATGCCATTATCTGGTGGCACAAAAAGTAATCTTGAAGAAAGCACAGTAGTTGTCTGAATGGTTTCAGCACTGGTTAATATACAAAATAAATCCACTGCTCTTGAACATTTAATTACTAGAAAATTATTTCAAGAATATGATGTGTACACTAAGAAAAATGCCATCCCTGATCAAATTTGCTTGTTTGACCATTAGATAGATTCTTCAATGAGGGAAGGCGTAGGAACCAAGGATTTCAAGGATGCATGAATTACTAAGACTCCCCCCCCCCAAAAAAAAAATTGCAATCATTCTCTTATGTTACATCCATAGGTTTTGCTGGCTTTTTTAAGGGTTCCCATCACCCAAAAATGATTAAGAAGAATGCTACCAAAGTTGATGAGTATATTGTTTTTACTACAAGATTTCCCAGGGATTTTAGTGTATCTGTTTTATGAACTTCCAAGAGAGGGAGTCAGCAGTTATACATAATTTTTTCAAACTTTCCTTATTATAAGCTTAGAATACTTTATTCTGAAGTACCAAATATTATCTCCTTAAACTCAACAACCTCAAAACCACAAACAAAAAGAATCCCTTGCAAATGTGAGGAAGTATCCCTTAGCTATAATATTCCAGATTTTAGTGAATAAAAACTATTTTTAACCTAGTACTTGACTTCAGAAAATTCTCTAAAAAATCTAAGAAAACCTATTTTTTTTTAAAAAGGTATATGTAGTAGCACTATGAAGAAAACTTTAGTATGATACTCAAAAGCAAGATTCAATAAAATATCAGTTTGGTTCTTTGTTTGTTCTTGAAGGACTAACAGTGGCTGTTTTAACAGTGGCTTCATTTGTGTGATATTCAAAAATTACAACATAATTATAAGTCCTCATTTCTTTAAATGAAACCATCAAAAATCTAACAAGTTACAAAAAGTGGAATGCTTGGACCAGATGTAACAAAAGACAGAAAAGAGTAAAAACAAAGACATTTTGGGAATTCTTCAGTAACCTAGAAAATTTGGAGAACACCTTTCTGAGTGAGCTCACAGAAACTATATATGCAGAAAACATACTAATGTTTATGAAGCACAAAAAAACAATGTATGATATGTTATAAAATATTTACATTAAACTCTTGGAAAAAAATAATAAAGATAACTAAAAATGACTGTTAGGTTACCAACACTAATGCCAATCAACATTCAACAAATTGCAATACTTACCAATATTTTTAACTCTGCTTTTCAACTGAGTAGAATTCCTCTTTTTACTCTTCGATTTGGGTGTTTTGTCTTTAGATGCCAGGCTGGCTTGTGCAGATGCTTTTCTTGTCTTAAATGTTTTAGTTACTGTTGTTGGATCTACTGGGTCAGGCATACTGCTAAAGCTTTCTAATGATTCTTCATCAAACTGGCGTCTTCTCCTGCTTGTATCTAAGTGATTTTTGCGGTTACTATTTGTAGTTTTCTCTACAGACACTGCAAATCCAGTCTTGATAAATGGTTTTCCTATTTCTCCTTCTTGGTCATACGACCATGGCGTCCTAATGTTTTCTACCTCCTCTTCAGGCTGTTTCTGATTCCTTACCAATGAAAACAAGTATTTAGAAATCACACTATAGATTTATTAACCGAAAACTTCAAAAACTAGTTTACTAAGGAGATTTTGGTGAATAAAATCTTCAACAGGCTATAAAATGTTTTCATTAAATATGCATTATATGGGCAAATACTACATATTATGGATTACTTGAAACTTTAATTTTGGACTCTTCTCACTAAACCATTTTTACTGGCAAAAACTCAAAATCAAAGATCTAGCATTTATAATAGAAAGAAGGAAAGCAAAATTAAGGCAAAATGGGACACAGAAGGAAAAAAAAAAAGTTCAGGGAACTAAAAAAGAGCTGTAGCAGAGGGTTCGGGAACATACATGGATCTCTTTTTATCTAAAGAACTTCTAACATAACCAGAATTTATGAAAACAAACTCTGTTTGTCACTAAACTCTGTTCATTAAGTATAGCCTACATCTGTTGGTCTAGTATCATTTCCCAAATTTTATTTGCTGAATGCTGGCATCCCTTAATATTTAAAAGAAATTCACTATTCATCTAAGTTGGGGGAAAAAGGCAAAACAAATTTAATATAGGTATGTAGAATTTCTTAGAAGTTTTAATATGTCAGTGTGCTTTATAAATGTCTTAAGAGTAATAGTGAGCAAGAATTCTACAACATTTTATCATAGAACTTGCATGGACAGCAGTGTTCCAAAGAACAGTTTGGGAGACACTGTCCACAGGGTAATATGTCTAATGTTTACTAACCTAGCAACTTTACAGGAAAAGTTCTCTGACCCTAGCTCAAAACTAAAAATTTTATCTGACTTGTTATCTCTATAGTTATTCAGGGAACCTATGATAGTTGAGATTTTAGGAGATAAGTTCTATCTATTCAGAGGTGGTAAAAATATCTAAAATAAGATATCCAAATCTGTCCTAAAAATATAAATACTTAATACAAAACTAAAATAATTTTAGAATAATTTATATGTATGTGTGTGTATGTGTGTGTGTGTGTATATATATATACATATATATATATATATATATAAACATTGATAATAATGAAGTAGGGAAATGCATTAGAATGAAGTCCCATTCACTGTGATGGAGATTCATGGCAACAGTGCATTAAACACCGTATTCATTTTTTTTTAAGATGTAGTTGGACACAATACCTTTATTTTATTTATTTATTTGTTTGTTTGTTTGTTTTTATGTGGTGCTGAGGATCGAACCTAGCGTCTCGCACGTGTTAGGCGAGCGCTCTACCGCTGAGCCACAACCCCAGCCTCCCCGCATATTCAGTTTTGATGAAAAAAAAAAATACTTTCACAGAACAACATCAAAGTTAATAGGAAAAAATGGTTAATCCAACTAATAAGAGTCCACAAAGTCCAAGAGATTAATTGTAGGATTCCTAGAGGTGATTACAAAGTCGGGATTCTAATATTTTTTTAGTTAATCAAGTTAAAATAAAATCCCTAAAAGTTCATAACAATTAGTATCAAATGCTAAATTAAAAGGCTGGGACATGTCCAAAAGTATAGCTAAAAGTAAATAGAATGTGAATTTTGGGGGAACAGGAATACTAGAAATTGAATTCAGGGGCACTTTACAATTGAGCTACATCCCTAGCCCTTTTCCTAAATTTTTTATTTCAGGACAATCTCACTAAACGGGTAAGGCTGCCTTCCAACTTGTAAACCTCCTGTCTCTGCCTCTAGAATCACTGGGATTACAGGAGTACATCATACCTTGCCCAGCTACACCACTGCAACTGGCAATGTGAATTTTTTTAAAGGACTTGGACAGCAAATCTCAAGAGATGTTTCTGACAGAATATAAAGTTTTTCCTGAAACTAATAATAAAAACAATGTAAGATTTTCACCAGCTGTATGAAAATAAATTCTGGGGATCAACATTATTATTAAAATATTATTTATGTAGCTATAAAAATGCCTAAAGAAAATGAATATCTTGAGCCAATCTAACTAATCTCTCACACTATTTGTGTCAGAAATTGTACCTGGGAAAAGTATCACGTTAAAAAATAAATATGAGAAAGAGAAAATGAAATCCTAACTAGTGACTGATTCTATTAGTAGTCAATATTATATCTGAATGATCTTTAGAAACTGATTCTAATCAGAGGCTATGAGTCAAATAAATGGACCATCACTTAACAAGTATCCTCCAGTAGTTAACATTACTTTCTAGTCCTAAGTCAATGAACAGTGAACTTTTTTAACATTACAGACAAACAAATCAAGGACAAAACACTATATGGGTCAGGTCATATCCTTCCAAATTAAATCTCACAGAATATCCTGGACCAAAATTCTGAACTACTACTCTTAGACCAGGGTTACCAGCAGATATAATATGCCTAAGAGATATCTAGTAAGGTGTAAAAGTTTCATATTTCCAATACTATCAAACCAAACCATCACAAACATCCTCCTTCATTGTGTTTTCAAATTACACATAACTACATAATTACAAAAGTGAATGCTTCAGCAAATAACAAGTCATGTTCACAATCAAGTACCTCTGCTTTTCTGCTCCAATAGAGGAACTGCTTTCAAAAGGTTTTGGGAAAGCCATATATTCTGTTTTCCCTGAAGAATTCTGGGCTAAAGGTTGCTGCTGTTCAGTGGATGTAGAAATATTCTGAGACAAATCTCCAAAATTAGAAGGAAATAAAGGGCTGAAATTCATACCTAATAAATAAAAGCAATGGGTAAAAGAACAATAAAGAAATGTCTTTAGCTTTAAATGAAATTAAAGACAGCTTTTTTTTTTTTTTTTAGTTTTCGGCAGACACAACATCTTTATGGTATGTGGTGCTGAGGATCGAACCCAGGCCGCACGCATGCCAGACGAGCACGCTACTGCTTGAGCCACATCCCCAGCCCTAAAGACAGCTTTTAATTAAAGTGCTGCTCAAACCCACTCAAACAGAAAATTATTCATTTAATAAATTAATGTTTATTTATTCAATCACTATTTATACTCAGCCACTGGCATACAAAGATGATTAATAATCCTTACTCCTTAAAGGACTAAAGTTATAAATATTAGTAAATGATATTTATCAAATTATTACAGGATACCAGACCCAACTATAGGCACTTTACATATTATTTCATTTACTGTCCAAAATAACACTATGAAATTGATACTATACTCATTTTGCCATGAGAAAAAAAGGCTTAGAGATCAAACGTCTAATAAGAAGAGATGGTTAGATCTCAGGTATGCAAGAATCTAAAGTTTATATTTTTTCCCACCCTAATTAGGCAAGCAAAATATCATTACATACTTACCAAACAGTGCTTCCAGGTCCCTGCATAGGGCTATTTAATAACCTGGAGAGGAGGGCTTCACAAAACTGAACCCGTTTATACAGAACGAACAATTATTGTACATGGTGTTGGCATAGGTATAAAGAGTATTACAGTGAAAAGGAAGAGAATGAGCAACTTCTCATTCATCACTTAAAAGTCTACTCAATGTTTGCTGTCAATATTCACAATCTAGAACTAAAAAAGCTTGTTCAATTTTTTAATGCCACCATCTTGAAAATCCTGTTAAGAATATATACTGTGATACATAAACATAAATATGTTCACAAAGCTCTCCCAACTTTTTTCCTCCTCCTACATTCACTTGTAAACAACAACTCTCCTTTATGATTCATTTCATTTAACTAGTCACTTATTCATTGTATTTCTAAAGTCTTTTCATTTTTCTTTACCACTACTAGCAATGCCTTAGATCAGGTTGTCATTCTTTCCCTAATATTACTGCTAAAGTCTTTTATTTACCAGCTCCTCCTTCCTTTTCAATCCTCCCACACTATCACCAGTATAATATTTCTAAAATATAAATCTCACATCTGCTCAGAGTCCTTCAATGGCCTCCTCTTCTCTACAGTGTAGTCAAAGTGTTTTTGCCAATTACAAAAGGCTTCTGTCCTACCTACTAGTCACACTTAACAACCTCTAAATTTCCTAAATGATATGTTATTTCATTGCTTTGTTACTCTAAGTGGCTCCATTCATTAGAAAGTCCTTTCCTTTCTAATCTCTCTGGTAATAAATTTTATTCAAAAACTAATTTGCCCAAGCATTCGCACAATAGCTACATCACTCATGGCACTGCACTAGAAGCATTTGTTAACATTCTTAGCTTCCTCAATAGATTCTTAATTCCTGAAAGGATTTATCTCCTTTGACTCCCAATAACTGAATGAAAGCCTAAGAGAAATGCACTTACCAACAAGATATGGTGCTTCTATAGAAGTATACTATGTTAATCATCTTTACTCTCCTAATGCTTTACATAGTGCTTGCTATAGAACAGCCACTAAATAGATTTTCTCCCTTTCTAAATAGCTGAAGCAATCATTCATTAGTAATTTACTTAGTTTTGTTAGCAACTATATTATTAAGTTTTCATTATAAGAAACAAAGTAGAAAAAAAGTTTCTAACTTGCCTTGCAAACATTTCCTACCATTTCAAAATAGAATGTTAAAAATCTATGCAATATCACAATACCAGACCTTAAACTATATTACAGAGCCATAGTAATAAAAACAGCATGACACTGGCACTAAGAGATACACATCTACCAATGGTACAGAATAGAAGACACAGAGACAAACCCACATAAACACAGTTATCGCATCCTGGACCATGGCACCAAAAACATTAATTGGAGAAAAGATAGACTCTTCAGCAAATGGTGCTGGGAAAACTGGAAATCCATATGTAACAAAATGAAATTAAACCCCTATCTCTCACTCTACATAAAACTCAAAGTGGATCAAAGACATAGGCATTAAAACAGAGACCCTATACCTAACAGAAGAAAAAGCAGGCCCAAATTCTGTACCATTTTGGCTTAGAAACTGATTTCCTTAACAAGAGTTCTAAAGTGCAAGAAGTAAAATCAAAAATCAATAAATAGGATAGATTCAAACTAAAAAGCTTCTTCTCAGCAAAGGAAAGAATCATGAAGACAAAGCCTACAGAATGGGAGAAAATCTTTACCTCACACACCTCAGATAGAGCATTAACCTTCAGGGTATATAAAGAATGCAAAAAACTCAATACCAAAACCCCAAATAACCTAATCAATAAATGGGCTAAGGAACTGAAGAGACACTTCGCAGAAGAAGAAATACAATCAAACAACAAATATATGAAAAAATGTTCAGCATCTCTAGCAATTAGAGAAATGCAAATCAAAACTACTCTAAGATTTCATCCCACTCTAGTCAGAATGGCAATTATCAAGAATATAAACAAGGGGTTGAAGTTGTGGCTCAGTGGTAGATCACTTGCCTAGCATGTGTGAGGCACTGGATTCGATCCTCAGCACCACATTAAAAATAAAATACAGGTATTGTGTTCACATACAACTAAAAAATATATTTAAAAAAAAAAGAATACAAACAATAATAAGTGTTGGCAAGGATGTAGGAGAAAAGGTACACTCATTCATCACTGGTGGGACTGCAAATTGGTGCACCTACTCTGGAAAGCAGTATGGAGATTCCTCAGAAAACTTGGAATGGAACCACCATTTGACCCAGCTATCTCACTCCTCGATTTGTACTCAAATGACTGAAAATCAGCATATTACAGAGACACAGCCACATCAATGTTTATAGCAGCTCAATCCACAATACCAAGCAAGTATGCAACCAACCTAGATGCCCTTCAACAAAATGGATAAATAAAATGCGGTATATATACACCATGGAATATTACTCAGCCTTAAAGAAGAATGACTTTATGGCATTTGCAGGTGAATGGATGGAGCTGGAGAATATCATGCTAAGCAAAACAAGCCAATCCCAAGAAACCAAAGGCTGGATATTTTCTCTGATATGTGGATGCTAATTCATAATAAGAGGGAGCTAACAAAAAATAGAGGTACTTTGTATTAGGAAGAGGGGAGTGAAGGGAGGGAAGGAGTTATGGGGGTAGAAAAGACAGTAGAACGAATCAGATATTATTACCCTATGTACATAACTGGTGTGATTCTACAACATGTATAACCAGAAGAATGAGAAGTCATACTTCATTTATGTATGATGTATCAAAATGCATTCTACTGTCATGTATAATTAATTAGAACGAATTTTAAAAAATCCATGCAACAAATTATAATATCAAAAAAATTTTTTTCTTTCAGTTTCAGTCACCTACCTGGTGCAAATGATGGAAAATTAGTAAATCCAGGCAGATTAAATAGATTTACAGGTTGTGTTGGAAAGCTGAAAGGACAAAATAAACTGGGAGATGAAGGGTGTGACGCACTACTTCCTCTTTCCTTGCTTCCAGATTTTTCTGGATGCTGATTTTGTTGGCGCATAAGTTCATTCAGCATTTGTTTCAACCTACAAAAATTTAAGAAGTCAGTAATTTTAAAACAAGCTATATTATCATCTATAAAGTATATTCAGGAAGATTATATGTAAGAAATAATTCAACAGCATGCAGGACTGTTCTGGTCCTACAACAAATAAATGCTTGCTCTGCTAGCCTTTGGAACAAGAACTGAAGGCAGTGTCTCCTGTCAGACAGCAAGTACAAGTAAATTTTTTTTGTTTATAGCTTCATTACTGGCATAACTTACACACTACAATTCACCCAATGTTAAGTATACAATTCAATAATTCAGAATTTTACAAACAAAAGTCCACAATTTCAATATGGAACAATAGAGGAATCACTGCTTATCCATTTCTCAGGTGGTTGAGAATGTGTTAATATATATTTGGTTCATGCCCTTTCTTCCTAGCAGATAACTATAACACTCTCACACAATTTTGGCACTCAAAATTGTCCACATTTCTAAGTAATCAATTACCTCTGAACATTATTCTGTTGCCATGTTAGCTGTGTGTAGCACTGGTTCAACTGGTGCATTATGAGGTGTACCTGAGGAGATGCAACATTGCTTGGCATAACACTGTAAGGACCTGTGAGAAGAGTTTGCAGCAGACAAGACAGAGTCTATTGAAAAAAAAAATTTGGTAACAGTTACTGATGAGTTGAGGAAAATTTGTATTACTTCGAAAATAATACAAATAAGATACTTATTTTTGTAGTAAACTTTACCTGCTGGTCTTGCATCAAAGTCTGACAAATATTGACACTGAAGTCAAGTTGTTTCTTAAGCTGGTTAATTTGTTCTTGCCATTGTTCTTTCTCTTCTACATAAGAGAGCTCTGATACCCACCGAAGGTTTTCTTGCCGTTGCATGCTGATATTCTGTTGTTGTCTTGTCTTGGCTAATGGGCGATAATTTCCATCTGCCGAAAAAGGGCGATTGTTCTTCCACCTAACATAGAATTTAAAGCCTTAAGTTATCACATATAATAATTCGGTTTTTAAAATACAGCCATAAACCTGATATCCTAGTCTCTAAGCAAATATTCTCGTGAAGTTCAAAGGACTTATAAAATATAAAAAATAGAGGGGAAAACCTGCAATTTTCTAGTTTTAAACCATTTTTAAAATGGTTTTAAAATGGTCTTTTTCCTTCATGTCTTTACACAGAAGAGCCCATTTATTTCTGTATTCTTCTGTCAAATGAAAACACTGACTATACTACAATCTTCCATTCCTCATGCTTTAAGTTTAACCACACACATTCCATTAAGTGGAACTATTCTATCTAACCATCTTTTATTCATGAAAAAATTGTTTTCACTGTTATAAATCAAAATGCAGTTAATATTTAAAAAAAATTTCTTTGAGATGGAGTCTTGAGCCCAGGTCGGTCCTGAACTAGGCTCAAGTGATCCTCTCCTTAGCCTCCTGAATAGTTAAAAACTATAGACAGTGTGCCCCCAGGTCCACAATGCAATTAATATCTTTGATGACACATCTTTTCACTATCCATCATTTTTCATTTTTGCTTAATTCCCCAAAACAGTAGCAAAAATGAAAACTTATGTATGAATCTTGACACAGTCTAGCTGGGACCAGCAACACCTGTGATATATTAATAAAAGCAGTCTCTGTCCCTGGTTTTTAGCATAACACTCTAAAAACCCTTGACATCTCCTGAGTGGTAGAATGTCTCTTGTTATTCATAATAAGCCCATTGCAACCATACCTGAGTTTATACTAATGAAGTAACTATTGGAAGGCCCTATATATCTTCATGATGGAGAAGGGAGTTGTCACTAGAAAAACCAACCAGTCCATTTAGAGGGTTATAATTTTCAGTCTCATCCCCTGAACTCCAGAGGAGACAAAGAGGCCAGAGCTTGCATTTAATCAACAATGGTTTTATTGATCACACCTATGCAATGAAATGCCCATAAAACCCCTAAACAATGTAGTTCAGAAAGCTTCTAGGTTGGTAAGCACATCAAGGTGTAGGAAAGTGGTATAGCAAGAGGACACAGAAGATCTGCACACCTCCTCACCCCATACACTGCTTTATGCATTTCTTTCACTTGATGGTACTTGAATCGTACTTATAATTGGTAAATATAAGTAAGTGTTTTCCTGCGTTCTGTGAGTTGCTCTTACAAATTATCAACTGAAAGAAGGGTTGTGGGAACTCTCAAATTTGTAGCCATGTTAGACAGAAGTACAATTATCCTAGGGACTAAGCATTTACATCTGAAATGAGGATACTCTTGTGGAAATGAACTCCTTTACTTATGAGGTCTATACTAACTCTTGTATAGAGTGCTATAAATGTGCTACAAATGAATTTTAAGATACTGAGCTAGTTTGGAGAATTGTATAATTCCGTGGTGTCAAAAACCCGAGATACTTAAAATCAAGCAAAAAACTAAAACAAACAAACAAACCTATTTTTAGATTCCTTTGCATTATAGGAATTGTGATTCACACTATTAGGAGGATACATAGAAAAATTATCATTAGAACTGGCATCTTGCTCTTCTTCCTCTTCTTCATCTGTCCGAACAATTCCTTCAGAAAGGTAACCATCTTCATCTCCTTCTTCATCTAAGGCACACTGAGTAGAACCTCCCCAAGTTGCCATTGTTCTAGTGATTAAGAGACATAAAACAGTTTCCATTCTGAAAGTAAGCTAAATACTTTATGCACCAGACCTAATATCAAACATATATATATATATATTAACACACACATTTAATCGTAACTCTATAAGATAAATGGTACTCTCCTAATTATTGCTATACAGATTAGTTTGCCTTCCATCAAACAATTCTTTAATTGAATTGAAATAGTAATTACCTCCCCAGGAACTTTTTTTTTTGCAGTACTGGGGATTAAACCCCGAGGCACTCTACCACTGAGCTATAATCCTAACCTTTTTTATTTATTTATTTATTTATTTTTACCTTTTTTATTTTTTGAGAAAAGATCATGCTAAATTGCTAAAACCAGCCCTAGCACTTGCAATTCTCCTGCTTCAGCCTCCAGAGTATATGGGATTACTGGCATGCGCCACTGCACCTGGCCCTTAGGACTTTTTTCCTTAACTAAACCTCCCTCAACTTTTCCTTGACTGACAATTCTCTACTTAAGTGCTATCCAAAAGAATTTTCTGCTCAGTTGGTAGAATGCTTGCCTCCCATGCACAAGGCCCTGGGTTTAATCCCAGAACCACAAAAACAAATAAACAATCAAAACAACTTTTTGCAATAGTGATAATGATTGATACCTGTGCTGCACTACACAGCGGATGCTAGGTACACATAGCTACTGGCACTTAAAATGTGGTTGATAGGAAATAAAAATTTTCACTTCATTTTAATTTAAAGAGCCACCAATATCTATGGGCTGCTGTTTTAGGATGTACAACTTTAGTCCAGGAATGTAGCACAGTGGTAAAGCTTGTGCTCTGCAGGCATAGGGCCTTGGATTTAATATCCAGCATCATAACAACAACAACAACAAAAAAAACAATATACAACTCTAGACCAATGGTTCTGCTCATAAAAACTATCTGAAGAAAGCTGTAAAAGAACAAATGTGTAATTACCAGAAAAGAATACTGATAATATAGTTTGATCAATAAAACACAGAATAAAACTCCAAAAATAGGATAAGTTCTAAGAGGAAGATAGTACAATGTCGTAGAAATGTTTTCTAAGGATAGGAAAATGTAAAGTTGCAAAAAATCTGGATTTCTAAAATTAAGATATAAATATTACTATATAGCAACTAACTGGTCTTATAGATAACCAACTCTTTGTGAAATATTCTAAATATGGAAATGGTGAACTTAAATCCTAAAATCTAAAATGTTTTGTATAATAAAATGTTTTAAGATCCTCAAGATTCTTACAAATAGAAGATGTTCAATTTAAGTAAAAAACTGATTTTTTCCCCTGGTCTGTTAGAAAAACAAGACATCAAGCATTTTCTTTTTATAGGCTTAAAACTTTAAGAAAATAAGATTTATAGACATTAGAAAATCTGTTATCACCATTTATCACATGCCATAATAATTTGAGAAAGCTGATTTTAAAAAGGCAAATGGCTGGATTCAGTCAAATTGAGTCACAAAGGTGATACCTAAAACACTAGCCTCAATGAAACAGCAGATTTATGCTGTCGTATCAAGGGGGAAAAACAAACTGCTTTGCCTAAAGTTTGACATTATTTAAAAAGTGATTTAAACTACTCTCTTACTTTTCTGTTCTACTTTGTTGAGGAGTACACAGGTTCTCAGATCCATCACTTCTCAATGACACGGCCAATGGAGACGTAGTTTCAGCTAGACCTTGTCTCCTCTGATGTTCAGCCATTAGAGCTTCAAGCTGCTTTCTTCTCTGTCGAAGCTCTTCCCTTAATATTTCATGTCTTCGCATGTCTGACCACAACTATTATTTTAAAAATCAGAGTCAAGTAAATATTTGGATTTGCTGTAGCCTTAAAGAATATTGTTGGTACTACAGAACTTTCTATTTTCACTCTATCCTTTTGATGATAAGATTTCTTTGAAGGTTAAAATAATATTTTAGTGATGATTAAGAAAATATTAGGTAATCTTTAATTGTTAATGAAAATAAGCAGCACTCAAACTTCAGGAACTATTTGAGAAAAGACACAATATTATCTACAAATTATATATATATATATGTAGTGCTAAGTGATTAGTCTTTCCAATTGAAACAATTAGTGTCTGCTGTAACTAAACTCTTATATGTAATTCTGCTAAGTATTTGCTAATAAAGAGCATGATTATTTTGAAACAATGCCAGCATAATTATTTTTTGTAAAAAAAAAATGTTTTACTCCACGGCTGGGGTTGTATCTCAGCTTGCCTAGCATAGGTGAGGCACTGGGTTCAATTCTCAACACCGCATATAATAAAATAAAGAGGGGCTTGGGGTTGTGGCTCAGTAGTAGAATGCTCACCTAGCACATGCAAGGCCCTAGGTTCGATCCTCAGCACCACATAAAAATAAATAAAATAAAGGTACTGTATTCAACTACAACTAAAAATAAATAAATAGATAAAAGTCCATTGATTAAAAAAAATAAATAAATAAATAAAAGAGGTTTATTCCAAGTAGAAGACACAAAACACAAAACATGTTTCAAGTAGAATACTGCCAGCATGTGTAAAGCCTTACATTCAATCCAACAACTGCTAAAACAAAACACCCTATGTTTCACAGATACTGTTCTCCATCTTATGATGTGTCTTAAGACCAACTCAGGAAATATAATGAGTTTACCATACCTCATTATCTACTACTGAAGAATCTTCAGGTTCAAAAACAGATTTGCTTGTATTGGTCTCATTTTCATTAGTGGTTGGGGTTGAAGTAACAGCTGGTATGTATTTTTTTGTGGGACAATTACCCACAGTAGTGGCTGACAGCTAAAAAAGAATTGGTAAAACTATTATGAGGTATTAAAGTAATAATATTATTTTCATAAAAGTAGTTAGTATACTTCTTCTCTGGATCTTTAGTGACATGTTTAATCTGTTATTACTAGACCCCCAAATGCCATCATCATCTGAAAATAACATATAAAAACATAGGCTAAAGTTGAAAAGTAATACTCAGGAACAACAAAAGCAATAGAAATCAAAATTCTGTATTCCTAACCTAACACTGTCACATATTCCTCTGGATATTATTTAGATTGGGGATAAAGAACAAAAGGATTAGATAATGTAGAAAAGGTAAGAGTTTTGAAAATAAATGATTTTATCAGAAACATATATGCTTTGGTATGTTTCCCTTTCTTCAAAAACAAAATATAGGGGCTGGGGTTGTGGCTCTAAGGTAGAGCACTTGCCTAGCATGTGTGGAGGAACTTGGTTCGATCCTCAGCACCACATAAAAAATAAAATAAAGTTATTGTGTCAACCTACAACTAAAAAATTAATGTTTTATATATATATATATATATATATAGCTAAAAATAAAGCTAACCAATAAATTTTATGAAAATCTCAGAAAAGAATTATTATACCATTCTCATATCAATCCTATACCTGATTATCTGACATGACCAAATATAGCTTATTTTCTGTTCAAACTGAAAGACCCATACTATACAGTACTATTTAATAAACAAAAGCATATATATTTTATTTTCACAGAAAACTTATAATAAGGACAGATGCAGTGGCACATGCCTATAAAATCCCAGCAGCTGAAGAGGCTGAGGCAGGAGAATTACAAGTTCAAACCTAGCCTCTCAGCAACTTAACAAGGCCCTAAGCAACTTAGTGAGACCCTATTTCAAAATAAAATATAAAAAAGGACTGAAGATGTGGGTCAGTGGTTAAGTGCTCCTAAGTTCAATCCCTGGTACTGGAAAAGAAAACTTATAATGATTTAAAACCTTTATTATGTAATCCTAGGCCAATAAAATATGAAAATACTGGTTTATAACTGCAAAGTTCAAACCAGAATATTTTAATATAATAAACACTTAGAAGTAGTCATGTTCTGAATCAATGGCTTATCAGCCCAGTAAGAATAAAAATGATTAATTCCCATGATTTCATAGTATATCCCCAGCCCATTATTTCATCAATTTCATTAATCCCCAAATTAGTAGATATAAATCTGACACATCAGTACTAGAAAAAGGCAAAGAACATTATCAACTGACATTAGTTTTTTTTGGTTGTTGTTTTGTTTTTCCAATACTGGGGATTGAGCACAGGGCCTAGCGCTTGGTAGGCAAGCATTCCACCACTGAGCTACATTCCATCCCTAAACTTTAGGTTTTGAACACCTCTTTGCCTAAGCAAACTGAAAGAAATAATTCTTAATTACCTGCAGGTCAGGACATGCCTTTTGCAAAGCTTGAATTTTCTCTTGAATCTCAATCAGTTTCTTTCTTTCTTCCTGCAATTGTTTTAGCTCTCGCTGTTGTTGCTGTAGTTTAGCCTCATAAAATTTCTCTCTATAATTAAATTGACATTTTATTTGTAGACTCCCAATAAAATTTGATGACAACATTAAGCAAAATAAAACAAAATACCTAGCCAAGAACTTTCTCTGTTAACAAGCACTAGATTTTTACTAAGTAAAAGCCAAAAGTTTTGCATACCTTGCCTTTTCGTTTCCACCAGTATCTTTCTGTGTTTTGTTAGCATTTCCTCTAGTATTATTTGAATTTTGTTTAGTGTCTTCTTCTGCTGGGTAGAAGTCATCCAAATTTGATGTATTGGCAGAAGTAACCCCTTGAGCTGCATCATCATCCTAAATAGCACAATTATATTAAAACATATCTTAGATATCTCTTAATATCTAGAGACATTATTAGATTCACACCTTACCAAATGCACTAGATCATAAAATTTTACATAACACAAATTAATGCAATAGAGAAAACATAATAATTTTTATAGAAAACTGAAGTTCATTCTCAACCAATGGTGAGGAATGAATTCTAAGACTAAATGAACACATTCAAAATATGGGTTACCAACTACTCAGTTGCTACGGTTTAAGTGTCTCCCCCAAGGGTTCAAGTACTGAAATTTAATCCCCACTATAAAGTATGTGAGAGTGAATACTAATCTCACTTTAGTGTTGAGAAGTGATTAGAATTAGATAGAGTTGCCAGGTAAAATCCCAATAACTAAATATTGGTGGGTTTATAGGAAAGGTGGAAAGACCAAAAGACACACATATGTGTTCCCTGTCACTTGCTATGTAACACTATGAATTGCCTACAGATTCTGTCAGCCAAAAGGCAACCATCAGATATGGGCTCTTAAACCTTCAGAACTATGAGCGAAATAAATCTATTTCTATAAAGTTACCCAGCCTCAGGTATATCTATATAGTAACACAAGAGTAAGACAACCTAGTAATAACCAAAATTCTATTTTTTTTTTTGTACCAGGGATTTAACCCAGGGGCACTTAAGCACTGAGCCACATTCCCAGGCCTTTTTAAATATTTTTTTTTTATTTAGAGACAAGGTCTCATTGAGTTGCTTAGGACCTCACTAAGTTGCTGAGGCTGGCTTTTAACTTGCAATCCTCCGGCCTCAGCCTCTTGAGCTGCTGGGATTACAGGTGTGCGCCAACAACTTGTCTTTTCTCATCTTGAGCAACTATTACTAGGAAGATATGAACTTTATGTTTTTTTCCAGTAATTATGATGTTTGAGATAGGATATTCTCACTATATTTGTATTTACTAAAGAGGAAAGAGAGAAAATGGGGTAATTTTTAAAGAGGGTCAGTGACAATGAATTTTGATTGTTTGAAATTGTTACTATAAAAATTTATCTATTATCAAGAGTGCCCAGCTCCACTGGTAATTTTTTTCTCCTCTTCATGTTCTGCAGAAAGCTAATCTTTGATACCCCTCAGCAACTTTGCATCAATCTAAACACTAACATAACCTATTAGTGATATTGATAGGAAGATGGAAAGAAACTGTACTGTAACTTCAGAAAAGGAGAAGCTGGATCACAAAGTATTTTTACAGAATAAAAAGTAGACAAACTAAAGCATGAGAAATAATGCAAAACAGAGCTTCCTGAAATTTCAGATGGTAGTATGAGGGTGCCTAAACAACTGAAATGATATGAACTACAGCATTAAAATAAAGCTGAAAAATTAACACACATTTTAATATACAATGCATCATAGACTGGAAAACAAAAGATAACAATTTCTGGAGGCTTACTGATACATTAGGCTTCATTAAGGCCTTACTCTAAGTTGTCCAGGATTTTAAATCAGAAAGACTAACAGTTTATATAAACATAATAACTATGTATGTTTAAACCTTCTCCTGTGTCCCTGAGAACCAGGATATAAATACAGGTATAAGAAAAAGAGTACTACATTCAACATGAAAAAAGACTAAAAACTATTAACGTTAGATATAAAATGTTGGAAGTTTTAGATAACTCCTGTAAGAGCTCTCTTTCAGGAAGGGGCATTTAATCCTTCTGGTCTGCAGTTTTCTTATTTCTCATATATGTATTTCAAGTCTTAGAAAACTCCCTACAACAAGAATTCCATTCAATATAAGCCTGAAATTAAGCCATATAAGCCACCAAGTTATTCCTCAGTTCTTATCTACTATTTCCATACTTTTAAAGAAAACAATCTTAGAAAAAAATGGAAAATTAGCAAATGCAATATCTGAAATAGCATAACCCATTATTAGTATTTATTTTAGAAGTTTTTTAAAGTTTTTTTTCAAATGGCAATATAGTCATATAATGAACTTCAAAAAGTAAGACATTTAGAAAAGTCTCATTTACAGCATTGTCTTCCAATTGATTCCATTCTCCATAGGCAATTGATATTATCAATTTGATTATACAAGCAAAAATAAATATACGTATGAATGTATACCTCCATATGTTTGCATACATGTTTACATGTGTTCCTGCACCCTCTTTTCCTCCACAGCTCTTCTTATAATAGGGAAAATCAAAAAAAGGCCAAGCCAATGCTACTAATGCTTAAATAAGCCACAGCATATAAAGATAATAAAATGTCATCAAAGGTATGGGGAAAAGGACTCAATCAAACATCACTACTCTGGAAAGCAATTAAACAGTATCCATTAAAGTTAAAATGTACATAAATGAGGCCACAGTAATTCAAATTTTTCATATCTACTTTAGAAAAACATAAACACAAAGAGACTTATAAAAAATGTTAAAGCTAGGAGCAGTGGCACATATCTCTTTTAATCCCAGCTATTCCAGTGGCTGAGGCAGGAGGAAATTGCAAGTTCAAGGTCAGCCTGGGCAACTTACCAAGACAGTGTCTCAAAATAAAAAATGCTGGGGATATGACACAATGGTAGAGTGATTTGCCAACTAGGCATTGAGGGCCTGAGCTCAATCCCTACTACAGAGAGAGAGAGAGAGAAAAGAAAAAGAAAAAAAGAGAAAGCTCACTGGCATTTCTAAATAGTGAAAAATTAGAAAAGTATGCGTTGGCAGGATGCTAGCTAGATTAACTAAAGTTAAGTTCCACTGATACTACAGAAAACTATGCTACATTTAAAAAGTATTATAAGTACTCTGTGTTAGGTATACTTGATTGCCTATATAATTATTTTTACTTCATAGTTATTTATATAATTATATAGAACAGTAAATGCTGAAGAGAGGTTTTCTAAGACATTGTAAAGTAGGGGAAAAAGCAAGCTATAAAATAATACTTAAGTGTATTATATGATTTGTAACAAATAAACAAAAGAAAATGATGTGCATTTTTTTGAATGATGCATACCAAAGTATACAAATGCAGAGAAAAGATCTAATAATATATAATTTGTAAATCTGTGTAAAGAAGTTGTGAATGAAAGTCAAGAGGGAGTTTACTAATAATGTATATTTTCTTTTAATGATGACAGCATACCCATTTTTTACTTGAAAATTCAAAGAAAGAAGCATTTCAAAAGAATAAAACATGAGTTTTTCACTCATGATGAAAACCATTTTTCTATACCTTTATTAATGTGGTTAATGTTAATGCTGTATCCTCCATAACTTTCAAGCTAAAACTCAATGAAAATAAATCATTCAGTTTTTTACCAGAGATGTGAAAACTGCTGATATTACCCTAAGTTATAGATATCACAAACAAGTTTTTTGGCCAAAAATCATAACACTACTTTAGAGTCTCTAAAATATTTCTATAGTGATTACATTACTAGAAAAAGTTTAACAATACATAAAAGATGGAAAAGATAAACAGGAATGATTTTAAAAGTCAAATCATTTTGGTCACTCTAGATAGATTATATCCATTCTAGTAAACTACAAAAGGCAAATAAGTCTTTGGACCATATTAGTTAATAAAGAAGTATTATTACTTACACAATTAGACATTCGTATATATAGACTACCTTTTACAATCTATGATTAGTAGTTCCAACTTTGTGGTTGGCATGGTGGTGCACACCTGTAATCCCACCTGCTCAGGAGGCCGAGATTGGGGGTCAGTGGTTTGAAGATAGCTTAGGCAAAACCCTGTCTCAAAAACTAAAAAAGCCAACAAAACAAAATAGGCTGGGGGTGTAGCTCAGTGGTAGAGCACTTTCCTAACAGAAAATTCCTGGGTTCAACCACCAGCCATGACTTGGGGAAAAATAAAAATCCAACTTTAGTTGGCTTTACTAGGATAAAGGGGTTTTTCTTCTTTACCTCAAATGTGTTGAAATCTCAGGCTCTGGTATCAGGAAGTCTAAATTCTGGTCCTGAAGTTGTATAACATTGGGCAATTAAAACCTCTTCACAAGGACTCTAACTCTGGATTAACTTGTGACTATGGGCCAGTACTTTTTTGTGGGGGTGGTGGTAACTGGGAATTGAACCCAGGGACACTTAACCACTGAGCCACATCCCCAGCCCTTTTCTGTATTTTATTAGAGCCAGGGTCTTGCTAAGTTGCTAAGGCTGGCTTTGAGTTCACAATCCTCCGGAGCCACTGGGATTACATACATGTGCCACCACACTCAGCTTAGGTTCTTAATTCTTCCTGATGTTCAATTTCCTTATTACGAATGTAGACGATTTATTTCATAGAATTATATGAAGAATAATGTAATGATGTGTAGACTATAATTGCTTGATTTAATCCTTTACTATCCAAACCAAGATAGTTTTGAAAATGAAAGGAGAAACTTGATAATAATTATGCCAGAAAAGAGATATAAATTGGTGTTTTCTCAGGCAAGCTAGAATATCCAGTTATAGTTAATATAATTTTCTTTGGTATAGAGGCTATAATAGATTTATGTGAATTCTAGTCTAGAGTAGGAACTTAAAAATATCTTCCAAAACTGAGGAGTTTTGCTCTTCCTTTATGTCATCCTCTTTTCACTTGGTTATATATATAGCATGTCTCAGAGAATGGATGATAGCATATAACAAAAAAGTATGTCAAAAGGTCTTTGGGAAAGGACCCCATGCCCTGAAAACGGTAGGCTGGATTTGGGAGTGATTGCCAGTAGTGACTTAAAAACTCAAAATTTAGGTAACCCAAGACCATAGAGGCCCAAAATACCCAGGAAGATACTAAGATTCAGGAGAGCTTCTGTCTCCCATGCTAGGTGGGAACAGAAACAACATGGGTTGTCTTGACCTGAACTCTTACATATGGTGACTGAGTTTAGCTAGTCCAAATTGTGCTATAATACATGTAATATACACACCCAATTTTAAAGGCTTATCACAAAAAACAATGTGGAATATTTCATTAATAATTTTTAATACTGATTACAGTTAAAGTGATAATATCTGGATATACCAGACTAAATAAAATTTATTATTACTTTTTAACTGTGAAAAAAACCCTCTTCAATCTCTTTAATACCTATCTCATTTGAATGTTATAAAATCTACATAAGGCTAGTGTCATAGGCAAAAACAAAAACAAAATAGTCTGGTTTGTAAATAAAGCTATACTAGAAGACAACAATGCTTCTTTGTTTACGTAAGGCTGCTTTTGCACTGAAAAGTTGTGAAAGAGATTGTATACACTATAAAGACTGAAATACCTACTAATACCCCTCACAGATGTCTGAGGTATATTGGGTAAAATACTAAGCCTTGCATATAAGAAACAAAATTACAGTGGGGGATGTAACTCAGGGTACAGTGCTTTCTAGCATCTTTGAGGCCCTGGGTTAGATCCCTAGCACAAGAGGAAAAAAATGCATATCAGTATAATTATACCAACATAATTATTAAACACATACATAAACTTTATAAAGACTGTACTCACTATTTAGCAAACATGCAGTATTTACCTGCACCATAGCAACAAGATCTTGTAGCTGTCTAAGTTTCTGTTTTGCAGCCATAAGTCTATTAATCTTCTGTTCAAATTCTGCATCTTCTGGAGCCTCATCAACCAGACTGCTTCTATGACTAGACAATGAAGCTCCACTGACCCCCTCCTCTTCTGCTTCTTCCTCCTCTTCCTCATCATCTTCACCTTGAGTTACATGCATTCCCTGTTCTCCTTCTCTATTGTATCGACAATCTATTAAAAACATGTATCATTCAAATCAATAATTTTAAAATAAACTTGAGTATTAATAAAAAAAAATCCACTTCACAGAATAATATGGCAAAATTATCTGTAAATACAGTCAATCATACCTAAAGGAGGCATGTTTAGAGCTCTAATGTTGGCAGCAGATCTGTTGTTAATTTCACAATTAGAATTCACTGATCTCCCATCTCTATTATTAGAAACACACTGTGTATTACTATTACTATTTACTTCATTCCAGGTAGCAGCTACTTGTGGATTTCTGCAAGAAAGAAAACAACCTAAAGTTATTTAAGTTGTTTTTTTTTTTAAGTTTCAGAGTGGTAGTAAAACAGCTGCAAACTAAGAACACAATTAACTATTTTATTTAAGTTCAAACTAAATAATGTGCTTCTCTTTCCCATTAGCTTTTTGCATCTATGTTATTAGGAAATTTGTGAAGAAAAACATCGAAAATCAAAATACACCTAAAAATAAAGAAGTAGGAAAATGCTAAGTTAAATACCTCTTATGATTACTTGCATTTGATCTAACAGCAAATTTACTAAATTATTAAATAATTCCCTATTTTTCTTTATAGAGCAGGGATGATTATACTAATCAAAACAGTAGATTTGCAAGAAAAAAAGCTTAAATAAAAGGTAAATAGCAATTTATTAAGGTATTTTCTCCCCACACTGAAAATATTAGGTTTGAAAACCAATCTTAAATAAAGTTCTTACCGAATGTTAGTAACAGGTTCAGAATTTTCATGCTCAGAATCGTATTCTGACTCTTCAGTTTCTTCATCTTTTGTGTTTTCATTTACAGCATCTGTCATCATATCTGATGTTTGTTCATAATAATGGACTAATTCTCTTAATTCATTCAATCTCTTTCGAACTTCATTTAACTTCCTGATAAAAATATATAATATTAACACCCATCTTAACAGAACAAAAAAAAACCAAAAAGCCCACACATTATTTTCATATAACAGCAGTCAGCACAAAAACTTTTTATACCTAGTCAAATACCTAGGGAATCTCATGAGTTTAATAAGGCAATAAGTTTAATCTCAAGTATGGTTCCCTCAAAATCTCATGACTTTATTTTCTTGTGTTAGGAACAAAGGCATAAAAAATCCATTTCAATTTAATTGTTCACTTTAAGCAGGTATAAATGTTGACAGCTAAAAACTCATTGTCAAAAATACTTCTTGGTTTCTTTATAAGAGTCAAAAGCATGAAGTATTATATTAAATACTCAATTTAAATACAACTTCTCAGACAAATCAGCTATACAGATATTATTGAGCATTTACAAAAGATTACCAACTAGTCTACACGTAGAGATCTATAAAATGCATGCTATTTTCACCAAAATTAAATTTGTTGAATTTTACAAAGTGCCAGGAACTATGCCAAGGTTTCTTAATCTTTAAAAATCTTTATAAATTGAAATATCATATTCTATGCCATAAATACAATTCCTATGTGTCAATTAAAAACTGTATTTTAAAAAATTTAATGTTATTAAATATTAACCCTATTTTGCAGATGCAAAAATAGCCTTAGTAATGGTAAGTAATTTGTCCAGCGACATAGCCTTGTATGATATAATTTCAGACCTGAGCTCGATCATTTGAATATAGAAATATTTTAACTACAGTCCTAGCTATTTCTGATCCTTTCTTTAAAAACAAGAAAAACATCAGCTCACTGAAGTTACCTATTTTATAATGTCATATTTCTCTTCGATTATTCATAGAATGCACATATAATAAATTCCTTTTTACCATCACACTTTAGTATGCTTATTAAATAACTTTAGTTTCTCCAAAATTTTTTAACACAAAGGGGAAAAAACGCCAAGTTTATCCCCATTATTTAATTCTAATTTATGTGAATAAGGATTATAAAAAATATTTTACTGTAGTTTTTCAGTTGGGTTCAGATGGCCTTCATTTTCATTCTCATTCTGAGGACCTAGAGAAGCGGCAGGATAAGAAACAGATGATACAAGGCTGCTGTTGGACTCTCCATTGACAACTGGTACCAAGCCTACAGGAACAGAGGGGGCTGAAACTGTACTTCTCTGATCTCCACTTCTCTGTGGAGAGGCTGAAGAAGGCACAACTATAAAAAAGAAAAATATTACCAGTTACCATAAACAAACAAGGCACCAAGCAACTCTTATTAATAATATGCTTAGAGATAGACCAAAAAGTAAACATCATTAACATTTTAAATTTTATAGTTAAATTTTTGAAACTTGAGTATATATTCAAGTAATTTGCTTATTAATATACTCTACAACCAAACACATCAAAATACACACAGAAAATACATTTTTATATCTTTTACATTATAGTTACTGGGCGACTGGGGTTGGGGGAGTGGACAAGATAGACACTGATAAGAATCATGATGTTGTATTCTGGAAAAATAACTAGAAGAGTACTCTGCTAAACTTGGTTCTGGAGTTAACAGGTCCCCTAGGTATGATGTGCATTCATAATCTGCAAATCATAGGGAGCCCTAACTAATTAGGTCTTATGAATACCAAGATTGAGCTTTATTCCAGGAGACAAAGTAAAAGTGCTAACATGACTGTGATACATCTATACCATGAAATGCTAACTGGAAAACCATTTTTTAACTAGATAAAAATCAATCCTGTAAAGTCTTTGAACTAATCTAATTATTTTTCTGTCCACATACATCAAAGATATTTTATGCCTCCATGGACAATTAATGAAGACATAATCTTTGCGCTTCTACTTCTATCACTTCAAAACTACTGTCATTTCTCTTAAAAGGACCATCATTGTTTACTACTCACTTAAATAACACAATTACTATAGCTGGGTTCTAGTAGTCTTTTTACTCTATTCTTTAACCTTTCTAACTGTTGGTGCTGCCCTCACACTATTTTCCAATGGGAAAAAATGACCTATTAAAATCATTAGCACAGTACTACTTTCTTTATATGTATAAAACTGACCACAATGACATGAGCACAACTTTCAAATTTTAAGTTTTTCTTAGCTTTTTTCACCTTTTCTTGTATAAGAAAGGGATTGGGATTATACTCTACTTAGAGGAAGAGGGGATTAGGAGAGATCAGGGAAAAGGAGTATGTTTCAGGGCAGAATTAGTAAGGTTCATTTGGAGGTGGCAGAGAAACAGAAGATGTGTAGAGAATAAAGAAAAGGACTTCAGAGATGAGATGTTTTTATTGCTTATCTTTAATTAGATATACCGGAATGTTAAAGAATAGAGGCAAGTTAGATTTTCCCCTACTGACTTCAATTTCCAATGCTTTACCCCTTATTACTATTAGCTGTGTCTCCAGAGGCAGGATCCAGGTTTAAAAAGGTCTGAGGACAGCAACTGAAGACTAGTAACTAGGTTGGAATTAGAGTAGATAGAGTGTGCACTTTGCATGCACAAAGCCCTGGATTCAATCTCCAATATCAAAAAGAAAAAAAAAAATTAGAGAAGATAGTTTCTATAGTCACAGCTCTTTGATATGGCTATTTATAATATTTTTAAAAAATGAACTTAAGTACAGTAGTTATAAATTGGAGACTTTCTGCTCTAAATCATATACTACAGAAATTTTTCATATCTTTGTGTGTCTGTGTGTCTTAAAAACTAAATCTGCTTAATAGTTTCAAGGTTTTTATTTAATTCAAGCTTTTATTCTTTGCAGTTCTGTAGATCAACCCAGGGTTTCAAGCATAGCATGTAACACAGGCACTCTACAGCTACACCCGCAACCTATAGTTTCAAGATTTTTAAATCAAGGCACAAATTGGATTAGTACTTCCTTACAAAAACTCTTGCATACTAAAAAATGCAGTACCATGTTGAAGTATCAAATAATTACCTTCTCTTCTACCTTTCCCTTATTAAAATTCTACCTATTTTTCAAGGCCCAACTTTATTCTTTTTCTTTTCTGAAGATTCACCATATATTTGGCTTTTATTATATATTGACTTGTTACTTAAAAACTTTTTTCACACTCCAGTTTTATCTTCCTAGCAAAATTGTAAATTTCTGAGAAACTGTATTCATTTACTCATCAAACACTATTAAGTGCCAGCAGATACATGCTGTCTATATAGTAATGCTAAACCAGATTTACTTACATGATGAATTGTTCAGATGCTGATCTCGAAGTGTATGAAGTTCTCCAAGTAACTTGTCCATTTTTTGTTTCTTTTCCTGCAGCACTCTCATTTTGCTAAAAAGTTGAACTTTCTCATCAGGCAAATGATCTGAAATTGATGGATTCCTGCTCTGGGAAACCTCCCTAGTTAAAGAAAGACTTTCTGCCTGTCTTCTATTGTCTGGAACAGCTGGAGGCTTATTAAAAAAAAAAAAAAAAAATAGAATTAAGGCAATTAAAAGTTGCATTCTCATCTTAAAAATATTTTTTATAAGAGGTATCAGTGGGCTTCCATTTCTACTCCCAAATTAAATGCTATTTTCTGATATGCCACCACAACACGTAAATGATTTCATATACATATGTAACCATACGGTGGTCCTGGGTTCACTGGTTATCATTATTGTCTATATCTAAATAGATGCTAACAATGCCATATTTTACATAGAATAAACCTTCAAATATCTTTTTCTTATTTCTGCTTAGAACCACCATTACAAGCTTTTAATTTCTTAACTATCAAATTTTCCTACACTTTTTTGGGGGTGGTGATGGTGGTAAAGGGAATTGAATCCTGGAGTGTTCTACCTCTGAGCCATATCCCTAACTCTTTCTAAAAATTTTAATTTGAAATAGGGTCTTGAATTGTGACAGGCCTTGAACTTGAGATCCTCCTGCCTCAGCCTCCAGAGTATCTAAGAGGTATGCCCAGTCGTGTGCCTGGCCAACTTTTTTTTTTTTTTAAATTATGAAACATATCAAAAATGTACTAAGGCTTAGGGAATCATACAGTAGATACCTACCAGTGAGCCTCATCATATTTCCCCACATTTGTATCCATTCTTTTTATTTTTTATTTGGCGGGGGGCGGGGCACACCAGAGACGGAGCTCAAGGGCACTCGAACACGGAATCACATCTCCACTCCTATTTTGTATTTTATTTAGAGACAGGGTCTCACTGAATTGCATTAGTGCCTTGCTAAGTTGCTGAGGCTGGCTTTGAACTTGAGATCCTCCAGCCTCAGCCTCCCAAGATACTGGGATTACAAGCATGGGCCGCTGCATCCAGCCTCATTCTTTTTACTTTTTAAGAGAAATATAACATCAAAGACACTAAGCTAAAGCTCTAAGTACTCTTCCCCAATTCCACTGCCCACTCCAGATGTAACCACAATCTGAAATTTGTAACAGCTATGTATGTATCCATAAAAACTTACACATTTTAAAATATAAAATAAGCAGTATCCTTCTTAAATTTATCAGTTTTCATTCATTAGCTCTATTTCATTTATTCAAATTACTATGCAAAATTTCATGGAATGTATATATTATATATACACATATATATTATTTATTAACTCATTTTGCTAGACATTTCTTTTGGTTCTGTTTTTTTGCTATTAGTACAATACTACCATGAACATTTCCTATATTTACCTCCTTGTAAACATCTGATTCTTTAGGGTAGATCATGGCAGGGTCATTAGAAAAAATTTACTAAATATTGCTAATCAACTCTCCAAAGTAGTTGAATCATATTCTTTTATTTTCACTTGATCAATCAGCAAAAAGACCGAAGAGACAATGCACCTTCAATTACACATATTTCCAGTGGAGAGGTATTAATTTACCCTATTTACCAAAGCCCACATATTGAAAATATGCATTTATATCATTATTTACAAAGTTTTCATATTATAACACTATTAATTCTCAAATTAAATTTAAGAACTTTCTTAAAATTGTTAGCAACTTTTACTTGAGATTCTCCTGTCTCAGCCTCCTGAGCCCCTGGGATTATAGGTGTGTATCACCAGGCGTGGCAAAATTGTTAGCAATTTTAAGATGCTCCAAGGACATTGACTTGAATCTAACAGAAATCTTATTGGTTATGACCTTATAGTCTTCTGGGGCAGGGGGTGGGGAAGGAAGTATTATCTAATAACAGAGAAAAAGAAAATTTCACTTAGCACTTCATTCAAAGTACATTTTGCTCTAATTTGGTGTTCTTCAAAGTTTAGTCTCCCAGAACAGCAGCAATAAAATCATGTGGAGAAAAGCCCACTCAAACCTTATGAATTCATAATTTTGGAGATAAAGGGACTCCAAATGTGATGTTTATGTTTATTAAAGTCAGAAAACCACTGTTCTAATGAATGTGATTTTAAAATCAACCATGCAAAAAATTGTTACCTGAGAATCACGAAGCTGATTATGAAAACGCTGAATTAAATCATTTAATTCTTCATTTAGTTCAGATGTTATACTGACTCCAGATAAGCTACCTGTAGTTTCTCCAACTGAAAAAAAATTAATAACTATTCATTAATATAAATAAATCAAACATTTTTTAAGTTCTGAGAAGCTAAACATAAAGTGAGGGAAAATTCACCTAAAATAATGTGAATTAATTAACCTTCTTATTTATCTGCCAAATAATCCTTTTATTATAAGTGTCTGTCTATTCTAAAAATAAAGGACAACTGCAAAACTGTAGTATAGTGCCTCATCTTTTTCTGACCCAACATACAAGGAGTAATGGTGTTATAACCCAATTAAAAACCTGTGACTCAATGCATTAGGGGTGGAGCAGGTTTATCCAAACAACCCATCTTTATCTCTACTTCTAAATTTCTTTCTCTCCTGGAAAAATAAGAATTTCAGGGCTGACAATTCCACATATATACTCCAAACTCTACATGACAAATAAAGAAGTTACAGTCCAGTAACTAGTGTATACCTTGCAAAATACTCTTTCCCATGACAACTGTGCTGCTTCTCTTAAACACCAGAAGATTAAATAGTGTAACTCTGGCTTTTCATCAGTATCCCTCTGAAAAATCTCATACATACAGGAGCAAATCTATTTAAAAATACTACGCTAAAATTCTTTTTGTAGTATTGTATAAAATAAATTCAAATCCAAATTCCTATTCATTCTATTCTTGTTCCTTGCCTTGTGATAGTTTATTTTTTAAAAGATACTGTGTGTTTACTTAAAAAGGTTCATATTTAGAAATATGAAGAAGACCTCTGGCCTAAAATTCAAAAAGATCTGACTCTTTCTGTATAAGCCTAGGGAAAAAAGAAACTTTGATATAAAACAAGAATAAGAATAAAAGTTTTAGGTATGGTTATAGTTTGGATGAGGTGTTCCGAAAAGCTCAAGAAAGTTTCGGAGGTGGAATAATTGGGTTGTGAAAAGCTTAACCTAATCAGTGCACTTATTTCCCTGATACAGATTAACTGGGTCATAACTGGGTGGAGGAGGTGGGTAATTGTGAATATGCCCTTGGGATATATATTTTTCCTCGGTGGGTAGAGAAGTCTTTTTGCTTCTTGGTTCCATTTTTCCTAGCTGTCTTCCTCTGCCATGCCCTTTCACCATGATGACCTGCCTCACCTTGAGCCCTGAGGAAATGGAGTCAGCCAGCCATCTATGGACTGAGACCTCTGAAACCCTGAGACCCAAACAAACTTTTCCTTCTCTACATTGCTGTTGTCAAATCTTTTGTAACAGCAGCAAAGAAAGCTAACTAAAACAGGTACTAACCTACAATTCTATCATAATCAAATGAGATGATGTAAATATTCAAGATTAATGTAACTATGAAGGGAAGTCTTTAAAGTCTGATACTTCAAACTTTAAAATATTTAAAGAGTTACTTCTTAACTAGGATTGTCTTCATATTGAAATAATTTATTTTCCAAAATTATGTACTTTCTAAGTATAAATATAAATACAATGGTACCCTGGATTTTATGAGGAAAAATTAGTATAATTATTAATACACACAACATATATTATAAAAGTGACTTAAAAGTCATAAAGCTCCTCATGAAAATATAAAATTAAATAAGATATAACAACAGTGATCAGACAGCTGAGTTGGTAGGCTAGATCTGGAGAGCAGTATAAATTAACTCACAAAACAAGTAGTCTCGGGACGTAAGTTCACTAGCAAAAATGAGGTGCTCAAAGGAAAAAAAATATTAGAATGTAATGATAGAATACTCTATTAGGAAACATAATTTAGCCACTAGAAGAGTGTGTCATAAACTCATCACTTTTTACCCCCTAAATATACACAATTATTATTTGTCAATTAAAAATAAAACTAAAAAAATAGCCTAACTGAACTTAATTAAGTAATTATCTTAATTTAACAAAAAAAAAAAAATAAAACATTCAGGTGAAGGTAATGAGACAAACTACAATACTAAATACTAAACAATTCAATAAAACTTTCAACTAAATGATATATAGCTATGATGAGAAAAAGAAGAAATGAACATTTCTGAGTCTCAAGAAAACTAATATGAAATTATACTTGAAAAAAGCCAGTATACAAAATTGGAGATCTAATTGAAATAACTGAGCTACTACTAACATTAAATGGTAAAGTGCTCTATAAATTTATTTATGACCTCACTTAAGGTTTTTAATACTTCATTAGGAGGCAAACAAAGAATGGCAATCCTAGTTGAATAAAGTACAAAAACTGGAAATAAAAGCATCAAGAGCCCTATCAATCTGAGGCACAAAAACAGAACTACAGCCTGTCCCTTTTACCTCTTAAGGGTACTCTCTGATGAAAAGGAGAGCGAGCTGTCTGTCTGCATCGTACAGTATGATGGCCAGGAGTTGTCCCTGCAACCTTTTCTGCATAACCAGAGAAAAGCACAGGATAGGGTAAGCCTCGTATGCAGGTTTCTAAACTAGTCAACAATCACAACCTGACTATATAATAACATCATCAACCTTGCAATGTAAGTGTTTATTGAGCCTTGCTTATAAAAACATATGAAGATTGTCATACCAGAATCATCCATCACAGCAATAGCTTGCTCTGCTTTATGCTGCAGAGCTAGAAGAGCAGCTTGTCGTCCCTGCAGAGCTCGCAGTTGCTCCTGCTGTTGTAACATCCTTTTTAATAAATCATGCTGTTTCTTCAAATTTTCTATCTCTTCCATAGGCTCCTGTTCAGGATCTCTGGCCTGGAAAATAAGAGCAACAATACTTATATCTATATTAAAATCCATTTTCCCCTTTTGACTACAAAAATGGCAATATATGTACATAAATAATACATTAGAATTAAATATGCAACCCTATATACAATTTTAGTAGACCTGAATAAAAAAGAATCAGAATAGAATGATAACATACAGATAGCCTGCCATGTTAAGAGTTAGGTAATTTCATAGTATAAGATCAGAAGCAATAGCTTATCATGAAGAGGAATTAACAAAAGGAAAGAAAGGAAAAAGACATACAAAACATAAAACCGAAAAACTGACAAGGGCAAGAGGAGTTACCTACACACACACACACACACACACACACACATACACACAGAAGAATGAGGGGAACCACAGCCAATAAAAAATTGAGAACAGTTTAGACTGGGTTAATGCCCAAAAAGACTCTGTAAAAAGGCCAAACTAAGAAATTTTCCGCCCCACTCTTGGAAGTGATGCTACAAACACAATGCAAGACTCAGAGGCTCTGGCAAGAGAATGAGAATGAGAAACACAATGCAAGCCTCAACACCTTAGCAAGATCCTGTCTCAAGATAAAAGAAATGGGGATATAGCAAAGGGGTAAAGTGCCCTTGGGTTCAATTTCCATCCCTAGTACCAAAGCATACAAAATAACACAATACAATACAAAAAAAAAAAACCCTCAGACAACAAACCCACTAATTTCTTTCTAACCAAGGACAAAAACTTTAAAAATAAAGTTACTTGATAATTTTATGTAAAAAGGCTTTAATGTAACTGCATCACATTAGGCATATAAAACGCAGAAAATTGTGTATTTCGTATCATACCATTACATTTTTTTACTTTTAAATTATGCCCATTCAGCTGAGTCTGAGGACATAAAATAGAAGTAAATACTTACAAATTCCCCCAAAATGATAGGAAGTTATCATCCTGCCTAAAAGTAAAGTAAGAGATTAAACAAGCAGCACTGATAAGAAACAATCAACTTTTAGACATTAATTTTAAAATCATACAAAATGTAATCCAACAAGAAAAAAGAAAAGTCAAAGATATGAATTTAAATATAACCCCAAAACAATCATTTTTAAGATAAATTATGCATGAAATATATATCAGTATTTTTTCGTCAGTGATTTACCATAATTTTTTTAATTTAAAAATTCTATGATTTTACCTAACATTTACATAAAATATTCACCTTTGTTTTATTTAGGCAATTTTAAATTTGTCTTGCTAACAAATTTTTGTTGGAGGTTTTGTATATTTTAAATAAGAGATCCTCGCCCCCTCTATAAAAAAGTTCAATGATTTAAAAAAAAAAACCATACTGATCTACTTTCCATATGTACACCTGAATTCTGGACAAATAATGGAGAACAACAGATGGCTCAAAGTAAGTTTCTTTCTGGCTGACATCCCTTCCCAGTACTATGTAAATGCCTCTTTTCTTTAACTCCCCAAATAGAATGCATCAGTATTGTGACTAAGAATGCGTAACTGTGAAAACATTTTACATATGTGACTAAGAAATAAAATAGGAAATCGACTTATGATAAAAATATTTAATGTCCACATCAGAAGAGCCTGATCAGTGCCATATCTACTTATTCTGGACTATTTCTAGACTTTATGAACATAGGACAGAAGTAATCTATAATCTTGGTTAGCCTGCTATTTACTGAAGGCTTTTCTATTGTGAATTCCTAATAAACTACAATCCTTTTCAAAGTAACTACTGTTTACTCAGTTTTCTGCCATCCTACACAAGAGGAAGGATGTTATTTATATTTATATATTTATTTAATATATATTTGTTATTTATATTCATCCCTATTAAAAATTCATCTTCTTAGTTCTGGCATATTTCAAGACTTTACGTCTTGGGAAAAAACCTGAAACACTAGGAATAATTGTCAATAGTCCTCTCAGATTTGGTAAAAGATCATTTCACAATAATTTCAACAAAGATATTAGTAAAATGTAAAAAAAAAAGACCAAAAAAGGTACAACTACAACGATTTTCATTAATCCAAAAATGAACTTCCAACAATTTTTTAAGTTTGTGGAATTCTATCACCACTTAATAACTTTTGTACCCATGTAAATAACATTTCAGACAGATATTTACAAAAGCTGAGTAAAAGGGAAGGAATGCTGAGAATAATAGATTCTGTTTAGCAGAGGAAAAAATAAAGTCAAATGTTGGGAATAAATTTTATCCTAGGAAATTAAAATCATTTTAGGAACTGAGTACTAATAAAACCACACTAGGATGACCTTAAGAATCAAGGTAAGAATCATAATTTAAAGACAGTCAAATTGTAATAAACTCCAAATTCACTTACAAAAATAATTTTCAAAGAAACTTAAGAATAGAAAAGAGTTTTCAACAACACATTATGGGGATAAAAACAGAGCTAAGATAAACTAGACTGTACTGTCAACTCTCAAATTTTGTCACTATTCAGGATAAAAGGAGACAAAAATTCCAAAGGATATTATTGTGGTTCATGTTCACTTTCTCCTCTTCACTGCTACTAGTTTTTAAAATAATCACCCACTTTACTCCTCTGTTGGGGCACCATTTACTTAATTAACACTTTAAATTGCAAGATCCCCATAACTGATTTCAAACTGTGTCCTCGAAGTCTACAAAACCAAACAAAAAACACAAACTGCCAAAAATCTAGAATTAAGTTTTGTGATTTTTCAACAGTCATAAAAAGAAAATATAAATATCTACAAAATGGAAAAGAAAGATCCAGTTGGAGATAATAAGCTAGTAATAAAACATGAAATTAATATTGTATATACTCAATTATTAAAACACTTTGCTCTTGCAAAAGGATATAAATACTTCTATGAATGATATGATATTTTTATCCAAACTGTTTCAGGTGGAACTACATAAACTTATGTTCAATACCTTTATGCAAATCATAGAAAATTAAAAGAAAGAACATTTAAATCAAACACTGAAAGAAACCCAGCAAAAATATTAATAAACAAGTCTACTACATAATTACTTTTCCTTAAAAAAAAAAGGTTTCCAATAAAAACAAAAATATAAACAACTATAAAGCTTATCATTCTTACAAAGAGAAGAAAGCTAGTAGCTTGCTCAATTTTTTTCTTTCTTTTTTTTTTTTTTAAAGAAAGAGGAGAGAGAAAGAGATATTTTTTTTAATATTTATTTTTCAGTTTTTCGGTGGACACAACATCTTTATTTTTATGTGGTGCTGAGGATTGAACCTAAGGCCCCGCGCATGCCAGGCGAGCGCGTTACCACTTGAGCCACATCCCCAGCCCTCAATTTTCTTTTTCTTTAATGAATTACCACAGAAAATAAGACAAAATGCAAAGTATCATAATGCACAAACACTAATATCAGAAACAAAAGGTAACTGACTAATAGTCTGGATTTAAGAATGTTAGGTATTTTGAGCCTAGATAACAAAAAAAAGGAAATCAAATTACACTTTAAATCCTTTGTTAATGTAAATTAAAATCAGCTGCCACATATAATCCATGGGAAGGTATATAGGAAAGCAGAAAGAAATAAAAATGCAGAAAGAAATAAAAATGCTAAGGGATAGCATTTTACCAAAGCAAGTTACAGTATAATAATTAACCATATTAATAATTTATGTATTTAAGAGTAATAGCAAGAACAGAAAGCAAATAATGAAAAGGAATATGAACAAAAGAGGTGCTACTTAGAGACTTCCCAAGTTAATATTGTGAAGTATACCTTTGAGGGAAATCCACGTTTTCGGCTATATTTCCTATTAGGCCTCAGTTCCCTGTCATTCTGAGGAGGTCTGTCACCTTTCCCTTTTGGACTTGTAGTAACGTCAATGTCTGAAACCTGTTCTCGTGAGGCTGAATTCCCTAGTTTGTCCTCAATGCACAGCCGAATTCTCAGACTAAAAGATGCCTCCTTTATTAAATAGTGTAGCATATTAATTTCTTAATACAAACTTCTGTTTAACATATAAGCCAGTCTTTTAAATAAACACAAAAGTTGCCCAGTTCATCTTTAAAAAAGTAATCCACCCCCACCCCGAAGTGGCAATAAAATCAATCAGAACTTTACATTTTTTTAGACTAAATTGTTACTTATTATAATTAATAAATATCATATCCTAGCTACACAAAGCTGTTAAAGCATATTTTAACATTTATCCTACAACATATTATTAAGCAATTTCCATAATGTTATGGCTTTATGTTATTATGCAAAAAATTCTCATCATGGTAAATACTTCAAAAATTAGAATATAAACTATAATAATCAACTATACCATTTCCCACCCCTCTCCAATAAATTTTTTTATCCACATTGCCCCAACCCTTCCATTTCTGCTGGTATGTAAGGAAGAAATTATTTCCAGCACCACTGTACATAGAAAAACTATTTCCCCATAGTAGAATCCATTCTTCAACAACTGTTTGGATCAAGCCTTCTGAGCATTTCCTGGTGAAAGCAAGGTAGAGAAAAAAAAAAAAAAAAAAAACAACATTCAAATTCCCTCTTCAAATCAGGAAGGGCAGGGAAGAGAAAGGAGGCAGATAAGAAACTATGCAGGTGAATACTAAAAGGAAACAAACTCTCAAATTCCTAATGCTGAATGGTATTTTGGAACAAATCTCAAAAACAGGAGAGATATATATATGGTTATCCTTTCAAAAGAAAATCTTTACTGGTTTTAAAGTTTACTAATGTATAGGCGTATCTGTTAAAATAAAAATGCTTGCAAGTATACTAGTTTTAAAGCACACTAACATCTGTGAGTAAAGTCTTTTCTACAAATCTTTCCTCAAAAGTTCTGTAAATTATTATTTTCCAAAGCATGGTTTCATGCTTTGGAAATTTCAAAAGAAATTTCATTTTTCAGTCAGAAATTACAGTATTGGCAGAATTACAATTACAGTATTGGCTGTGATGCACACCTGTAATTCCAGCAACTTAGGAGGCTGAGGCATGAGATTCACAAATTCAAGAACAGTCTCAGCAACTTACCAAGACCCTGTCTCAAAATTAAAGATAAAAAGTCCTGGGGATACAGCTCAGTGGGAGAGCACCCCTAGGTTCAATCCCCAGTACCACACAAGCCCACAAACAAAATACAGTATTTTTCTCACTATGAAAAAAATAATAATGCAAATGCTGTCCTGTCCTATTTACTACTCTATCTAAATATTTCAATCATCTGGTTTTGCTACAGTACCAAACTAGGGCTTGAGAAATTAAAAATCCTAATATCCTTAAAATGATCCCCAATGGCAAATAACATGAATACTTTTCTAATAAATTATAGACTTAGTAATCATGAGTATCATTAGTGATTACAATAGCCCTTACATCCACAATAAATTTTAACATATCCAATGCCTCCTAAAATTAGTAAAATTATACTTAAACAAATTAGAAAAACTATTTCTGAAAGCTAAAGTTCAGAAATTATTAAATTTTCAAATTAGCCATCAAAAGTACTTTAATGTGGACTGGGGTTGTGGCTCAGTGGCAGAGTGCTTGCCTCACACATGTAAGGCACTGGGTTTGATCCTCAGCACCACATAAAAATAAATAAAGCAAAATAAAGATTAAAACATTTTTTTAAAAGTACTTTAATGTAATTAAAATTTTTAAACTTCCATTAAAACATACATACAGCATTAACAGTTTGAGGGTTTCTTCCACTGGAATACTTTTCATTAAAGAACACCTATAAAATATCACTGTGAAAAATGGGGGGAAAGTTTAAACCTTCATTTCCAGCACTTTAATTACCAAAAAGCCGCTTACCGTGGTATCTGAAGCCTCAGACTGCACATCTATGTTTAGCGATGTGCTCTCAGCTACAGAACCAGATCCCACAGCTGAGTCTATAGTCCGAACATCCTCCTCCTCATTTTCTCTAGCCTGAAATATTTTAGTGGTATAAATCATACAACTATTAAAAAGGGCAGTAAAATGTTATAATGGGTGGCAAGATTTTTTGAAAATACGTTAACTCCTCTAGGATAGCATCAAAATGTCATCAGTGATATATTATAAAAATAACTCGATGTTATAAAAAGATATAAAACTTACAAGAATTTTTTGGAGAAATTTCATGTACGACTTTTCTTGTTCTTTAAGGTGATCTATTAGATGAGTAAGGCGTTCAACATTAGCAGATCTTTCATTTTTCTCCACAAGATCTTCTCGCATGGAGCTAGCTTTAGTAATATAGTCACGAATTTGAACAAGTCTACTTACAATCTGCAGGGGAAATATTAAAAAGAAAAATAGCATGACACACAACATGTAAAACTTAACATAACCATCTCAATAGCAACAATTTTACAGATTTTTATTTCAAAAAGAATAATGGTACATCTAAGTTTATTATATGAATCCATACATGCAAAAAGTCTGAATCAAATTTGGATTTTAATCAACATAATTGGCAAGATTAAAAATCACTATCAATTTAAAAATAAATTTCAAAACTATTTTACCTTATATTACTTGATAAATACTAGTTATAAAATAAACTATTATTTATACAAATTTCCTTCTAATGTTTTCTCTTTTATGCCTAAGTATTATACTTTGAAAAGTACTTTTAAAAATACTACCATTAAAAAATTATTAGCGAAAATCTATTAATCACATTGTTTCTAATCTCCCTTTACCAAAATTAGCCATTCAGTATTTTGCGAATAAAAGAAATCTTAGTGAACCTATATGCCATTTTTCCAATCATTTAGTTTAAAAAATATTTATTCTACTTTAAGTATATCTGGCAGATTGAGGAAGAGTGTCAGGGAAATACTTTAATTCCACATAACTAAAATTCCTATGTGCATAACTAATATAGTTCTTTAAATCTTAATGTTTATTCTTTGAGGTTTGTGAAAACAAGCAAAATAAACTAGTTTTATCACCTGGCTGCTCTCCATTGCAGGCTCTCCTCTACCATCTTCTTCAGAGACTTGACAGTTTTGCAAAAGGTCATTACTTAAAGCAGTAGCAAACAATTCTTTACACTGTGTTGATCCAATCACTTCTCTTTTTTGAAGACTTGCAGCCACATCTTTGCTCTTGTTAGTGTTAATCTGCATAGGCAAAAAGTTGAAGGGCTTTCGGTTTTCACTAAGCTGCCGTTTGTTGTTAGCTGCAGTGGCTCTACCTTGAGAATCACTTCCAATGCTTCTCTATACATGAAAATGAAATCAAATCACAAACAGTAATCTTTAACCACTTTTTAAAAATTCCAATGTTCTTAGTTTCACCATCAAGTATTGATTCAGCAGACATAGCTTTGTAATAAAATATGAAAAAGCTTCAGATCTACAAAATTTAATTAGCACTTCCTAGTTCTCATTTTCTTCAGACAACTGATAAATATGAACAAAATTAGTCTGTGACTTACTAGAACTTATGGGCCATATTTATAATTAATACTGCTATTTGTTACTTCCTTACAGAATTTTTATAGTCTTTGGAACCAATGAATCAATGTTATTTAATATTAACATCAGCATAAACACCTATGTGCAGCACTGTTTTGAAAAAAGTATTCAGTTTAGTATCTGGTATAAATTAAGTATTAACTAATAATTACCCTTTTCTGTAAATGTGGAAACATTTCTCTTTAAAGCACGTGTGACAGTAAAACATTGGTCAAGAGTTCATTATCATGTCTATTGGCTTTTAGATCAATAAAAATTCATCTAAGCTTTATTTCAGTGATTATATAAATACAAGTCAGTTTTAACTATAAAATATTTTATTTATTTAATCATACCCACATAATTCATTCAACAAAAACATCTACAAATTCTTATTTTATCCATATTGCGAGATTCAGTTACTGTTGCAACAAAGCCATTCATAGATACTTTCCTCTTTTATAATTAAAAACTCATATTTCTATGAACTGTGTCTACACCTCAATCCATGGGTAGATATTCGTGCTAACCTTATTTTACCCTTTCCTGGTCACAGATGACCTGGTAAAGAAATACATATCCAATTCAAATTGGCATAATTGTATTTTAGGTAATCTAGCACATCCCACACTTAACCAATAAATATGCTAAAGCTAAACTGGATACTTCCACTTACTTTTTTTTCCTTTTTTTGGCAACAGGGATTGAACTCAGGGACACTCGACCACTGAGCCACATCTCCAGCCCTGTTTTATATTTTATTTAGAGACAGAGTCTCACTGAATTGCTCAACGTCTCACTTTTGCTGAGGCTGGCTTTGAACTCTCAATCCTCAACGTCTCACTTTTGCTGAGGCTGGCTTTGAACTCTCAATCCTCCTGCCTCAGTCTCCCAAGCCGCTGTGATTAAAGGCATGCACCACTGCGCCTTCCCTTTCCACTTATTTAATAACAATTTTATTCAGTTAGTATCATGCAAAATTTAATTTCATAATGAAATAATTTAAATTAGTTATTAGCATAGTAATAAACTCCAGAAAGACGTCTTTGGCAAGCTGAGAAATAATACTGTTACCCACCTCTAGCAATTAGAGAAATGCAAATGAAAACTACAATGAAATTTGATCTCATTCCAGTCAGCATGGCAATTATCAAGAATACAATTAACAATAAATGCTGACAAGGACATGGGGAAAAGGGTACATTCCATACATTGTTGGTAGGGCTGCAAATTGGTGCAGCCACTCAAGAAAGCAGTATGAAGATTCCTCAAAAAACAGGAATGGAACCACCATATAACCATCAATTCCACTCCTCAGCATATACCCAAAGGATTTAAAATCAGAACACTTCAGTGATGTAGCCACACCAATGTTCATAGCAGCACAATTCAAAATAGCTAAGCTATGGAGCCAACCTAGGTGCCCTTCAACAGTTGAATACATAAAGAAAATGTGGTATATATATGGGATGGAATATTACTCAGCCTGAAAAAAGAAATTATGGCATTTGCAGGTATATAGATGGAGCTGGAGACTAACATGCTAAGTGAAACAAGCCAGTCTCCAAAGTCAAAAATAGACTACTTTCTCTGATATGCAGAAGCTAACCCAAAATAAGTGCTGGGCGGTGCAGGGGGGGAGGGGACTTAAAAGAAAAAAAAAAAGAATAGAAGATAGATTAGTGGAGTAGACAAAGGAGAATGAAGTGAAGGAAGGAGGGATAGGATGGGGAAAGAGAAATGAATCTGACCTAACTTTCTTATGTACATATATGAATACTACAGTGAATCTCACCATCATGTTAACCCATAAAACATTAATTAAAAAAATAAGTAAATGAAAGATCAGTAGAATTGAGGGAAGGGAACGGGGGAAGGAGGAGGGGAGGGCAAGAGGACATACTGGGGACTGAATTAGAACAAATTATATTCTATACTTTTAAAATTATGTCAAAATGAAACCTGTTGTCATGTACAACTTAAAAGAACCAATTAAAAACAAAGAAAAAAAATCTGTTTTCTTCCAAAAGACATAGCAGTATCATCGAGTATTAAAATTCTTTTTCCACAGCACAGAAACCTTTTAAAAAGTACAAGGCTCAATTCTTTTTTTTTTTTTAATATTTTTTAGTTGTATATGGATATAATATCTTTACTTTTTTTAATATTTATTTTTATGTAGTGCTGAAGATCCAATCCAGGTCCTCACATATGCTAGGCAAGCACTCCACCACTAAGTCACAGCCACAACCCTCAATCTTTTATTCTTAAGAGAAATTACTTAATCAATTTCAACTATTTCCCCATAGATAAAACTTGATTTTTAAAATAATTCACAAACCTGATCTAAGTCACTGAAGTTTATCCGTTGTTTAAGTTTCTCTAATTCTGCCTGCTCTGGAACAGACATCTGAGTCATATATCTACTATGTGGAAATGTATGTGGAGTCTTTGTTCTTCGCCTTCCAACTCCTGGTGATGACTCCGGAGAAATCTCATTAGTTACCCTTTTATCGCTTTCTACACCAAACTTTTTCTTATTCTTTTCTGATGATCTATTTGCCTTCTTCTGCTGGCCACCCCAATCCTTTAAAAAAGTAAAAGCATAAGTTAATCTGGCCTCTATCAAAACAGGAAAATAATTTGATAAGCTTAAAAATCTTTGATCAGTCTTAGAATCTAAACATTTTCAAAAGCGTTTTAAATTTTTTTTCTATTTATAAATTAAATAGTGAAATAAATTATAGACACATTTACTGGCCTCCTTTAGATTGAAGTCAGCATGCATAGTAAAAAAAGACAACAGATCTGAAATCAACCTGGGTTCTAAAATAATTACTGTTTTTTAAAGAAATGTTCTACTGGGTGATCCTAGGCAATTTATTTAACTTACTACAGTCTGCTTCCTAATGCCTAAAATCCTAAACTTTAAAATGGGATTAAAAATGAAATACATAAACATCTAATACAGTGCTTCACATTTAGTAAGCAATAAATGTAACTATTATTTTTATAGACAATGATGTATTATATAATACCACACACAGAATTAAAATATGCTTAATATTATTGCTATAAAATATTTTTATTAATCACACCCACATAACCTAATTCATTCAACAAAAACATCTATAATTCCTACCTTATTCATATTAGTTACTACTATAATGAAACCATTTGGGTTACTTTTCTCATTTATAATAAAACTTGCCTTTCTATGAACTGTCCCTTCCATATATAGGTATTCCTGTCAACCCTTTATACTTACCCTACTCTCTCCTGGCCATAGCTAAAGGGAAAAGAAATGCATATGCAATCCAAATTAGGAAAATCTTATCCCAAATTTTCAATTTGGAAATAAAAGATAAACAATCAGCATATAATTACAGCCATAACTGAAAACTTTAAAATGATGGGGCAATTACACTATAATTTCATGGACCACAGAAGCAGATAATCCTAGTCTGTGAAGAGAAAACTGGGTTAAGAAGTACTTTGAAGCTGGTCATGGTGGCACATGCCTTAATCCCAGTGACTCAGGAGCCTGAGGCAGGAGGATTTCAAGTTTGAGGTCAGCCTTAGCAACTTAGCTAGACTCTATCTCAAAATAAGTAGTAAAAAAGGGCTGGGGATGTGGCTCAGTGATTAACCCACCACTGGGCTCAACCCCACCGATACCAAAAAGAAAAAAAAAATACTCAGAAGCAGAGTCACAGTAGAAAAAGAGTGGATTCTTGACAACTTTCCAGTTCCTTTTTCCAGTCCCTTCCCTAAAATCCACCTATATTCCTTCATATGGTTTCCATAAAACATCTTTATATCCTTATAACAAATCTCCTTTTTAGTTTAAGCTAAGTCAAATTGATTTGTTAGTTATAATAAAAGGGTCTTCAACTAATAATGAATAGTCCAGGGTACCTTAATATATTAACTAGCAATGTTAATAAAGAGTGAGTTAGATTTGGTGTGGAGAAAGCTGCATTTTAACATTAGAAATCAACAACACACCATCAATAATAAGATATCATACCATATTGTTGAGTCGGTCATCAACACTTTCATTGCTCCAGTTCGGTAAATCCTGATCATTCATTCCTTCTTCAAAAGGACCTCCTCCTGTGGCCATATTGGCTTTAACAATTAATTTCCTGAAAGACAAGTAAAAACTAAGGGTTTTAACACATATAAAATAAGTTTCAATGTTTAAATCATTTCATGAAACTTAGCATATAAAAGAATTTCTGAAACACTAATTTTGTGAAAATAAAAAGAAGCACTATCAACCACATGTTACAGACAACATCAACTTTATCTTAGGTGCTATCATATATTATGTTATCATGAGTTAAGTAGCTCAAGTAGAGAAGGAAAAGAAACCCTCTGTATATCCATTATGTGCACTGCATGCTTTAAGATTATTTTAACTTACTCAACACAGTCCTAAAATGTAAAGAAAATAGGTAGGAAAGAACTTTTTAACAGAACCAGTGCACTGTTAATGAACTTGGCATAAAAGTGATACCACAAGAAAACTGGCATTAGTTTTATACCCAAGATCCAAAAAAGTTAGAACTACTCTGCACGGAACAAGGAGAAACAAGATATATCAGAACCTTAAGTAAGATGACAAGAAGGTGGGGAGACAGAATCAGATCAACGTGGGGTGAAGGGCCAATAAAATCCAAGAGTGCAATGGCTAAAATACATTTTAAGAACAATGATGTAGTAGCCATAGCTTCCCTTATTTGCTGAAGTCTACCAAACTCCCCAGGGAGTTTTTGCTTGGGCATGTGAAAATAAGGACAAGAACTTAATGTCAGAAGCGAAGATGGTGGAGTGAGGAGCGCCTCGGCCATTTGGCCGTTTGGCCTCTGGGCCGGGGTCGTGCAGGCCCCCGGGAAGCCGACTGCGTCTGATGGACCATGTGAGAATTCTTGTCACACAGGATGAACACTTTCCTTACATTTAGGTGCTTTTTATTCATCTCAAAACAAAATTCTGAACTCAGGATGTGGCCGGTATTTCTATGTTGTCTTCTAGAGCGGGTAGTCCTGCTTCTTTTATCCAGCCACTTTCCCTACTGAAATATGGATACCTTTCTACACATTACCTCCATGGTTTAGATTGGAAAAGATTGCTTTTCTTTTGTTCCACCTTTCAAATTCAACACAGAAAGAAGCCCTTAGAGTGCAGTTATCCTGCTGACTTCTCCCAGAAGAAAAAAAGCAATTGATGGGTCTTCTGCAATTTGCTTAATTATCAAAAAATTATTTTGCAAGCTGAAGGCTGACGTTTAATTTGAAACAGGTGCTTAGGTTGTGGTATTTGTGAATTCTTAGCCTTTTGCTCCAAACAAGAAGACTAATAAATGGCAAGTATGGATGACTTCAGGTTTTTTAAAAAAATGTCTTCCAGTTTCGGCCACTATTATGATAAGCACATTTGAGACTGCAGCAGTAAATTCCAAATATTTGTTGTAATTTGAAAAGAAAAAGATGTTAAAAAGTTATCTATATCTCTATATCCTGGTTCATCTTGTGACAGATTTACTGGATAGAAATGAAGGTCCAGTTTTGCAGTTAACCCTTTGGTGTGATAAAGAAGCATAAAGACAAGATATCAAGATTGATTTCATATCTGATACCTAAAGAGAATCTGTACAAATACATATTTTTACATGTGTAAATCCACATTTTTGGATGAAAGGAGGGGTTTTTCTCCTGGAGACAGAACCTGTTATTTACTTTTTCAAGTCTTGGAACATTTGCTCTTTTTAAATTTTTTCATTCTTCTACAGAAGGACCAGATTGTGTAGCAGCTAAGTGAGTGCATGCTTACATTTAGTTAAAAGAATGGTAAAAGCGAACAACCCAGTTTGAGTCCATGATGGAACGCTGTTCACCTTCCTAAGATGAGAGGCTGCTGTATTACAGTTTTATTCATCCTGTTTTCTGGAGTCATATAGCACAGTAGAGTTAGTTTTCCGTGTGGCCAAAACTGGAAGAAAAGTAGCACGAGTAGTTTTTTAGATAAGAAGGTGAGATGGACCCTATAGTATGACCTGCTTTGAACTTTGGACATAGAAGAGAAGAAAAAGATAATGAGAAGTTTCCATATAACTCCTTTTTCCTAAGAAAAAGAAAAATGTCTTATGTAGCACCATTTGACTTTTTTGGAATTTTACATTACATAGTTCCATTTTTTATAAAGTCACAAGTAACTCTTTTCTCAACCCAGATGGGTACTTGGATTTATTTTTCTAGGTGGTAGGTGTAATGTTAAACTGAAAAGGCTGGGACTCAGGTAAATTTCCCCAGTTGGAATTGGACTTTCTCGTTACCGAGTGAGTCTATCTCAGAACCAATGTTGTCAATCCACTGGTTGTTTCATTGTAGATTTAGAAGAAATTCAGGATCTGAAAAAAAAAACCTCAAATAAGAAAAATAGTTCCACTAAGAAATGTGGATTTTGTGTTTCGTTCATTATAGATTGAGAAGAAATTCAGGGTTTGGGGAAAAAGAAAACAAAAACAAGAAATATGGATCTTCCTTCTTTTTTTCCCCTTAACAGTTATATGATGAAGACTAGAGTGGAAAACTGTTCTTGCTTTCAAACAAACAGGAGCATTGTATGATATCAAGCCTTTCATAAGAAGCATGGACACTTTATTAATGATTCTTAGTAGAGAAAGAATTTTAAACTTACTAGATGAAATTAAGAACAGGTAATATAATTAGATCATCTTTGTTTTCTGGAATGGTTGCTGAGGGCCATGGGTGCGATGATGTTGGGAACACAGGGCAGATTTACCAAAAATTGAGAGTGATAGAAATTGCCAAAATGGGAAATGTTGAGCATTGTTATGATTAGATTGGTGAACTAATTTGATTTAGAATAAAAAAGCTTTTTCACAAAAAAAAAAAGAACTTAATGTCATATCTGGGTTAAAGAGACTAGAAACAGAAGTAGCAATGGTGGAAGCAAAGGTTCAGAAGCAGAAATGGTCATGAGAAAAAAATTCTAGATAATCTAGTAGAGGACTCTAGATTTCCAATAGCTATAAAATTATGTAGGAGTAGGAAACGTTGAGATAATTTTATCTAAAATTTAAGGGACAGGGAGAGCCATTAGACTACAAACAAAAGTAATAATATTCAAAAGAGTTAGATAATTTTACTATAGTCATTGTGCTAAAAGGGCAAAAAAGATTACAAATCCAAACTGCTTCAATTCTAAGATCCATTTGCTGCAGCATAAAAGCAAAAAGATCATCAACCATGACTGAACAGGATTAATTCCATGGATATTTTAATGCTAGAATGTCTATTAGAATACATATTACATTAACAGATTACATAACAAGTTAAATCTTCTCAAAATAAAGTGATGTGATAAAATTCAGCAAATATTTGAAAATCTTAAAAACAACAAATACACTGAGTTTTTCCTTAGTTATATATTAAAACTGTTTGTATTCTTTGAAATAGCATACATTAATAACTCTCCAAATAGCTGAAAAGAAGTATATTTAAAACCAACAGTCAACATTATACATAAAATAAGACATGAAGGACAATCCTACAAAAGCCAAAATAAGAATGCCACATTCAATTCAGTAAGCACCATTTCAAAAGTTCTATGAAAAAAAAAGAAAGAAAACATATGAATATTAATATTGAAAAAGGTGATATTCTTAAAGAACATGCATTAAAAAAAATTTAGAGAACTTCAAATTATTACCAATACCCACTCAAAAAAAATAATGGAAGCCAGGTGTGGTGGCACATGCCTGTAATCCCAGACACTTGGAAGGCTAACGCAAGAAGATTCCAAGTTTAAGGCAAGTTGGGCAACGTAGCAAGATCCTGTTTCAAAATAAAATTTTAAAAAGTTTGGAGATACAGCTCAGTGGTCCAGCACTTGCCTGGCATCTGTGTGGGATCCTGGGTTCAATCCCCAGTACCACAAAAAAATATACAAATATATAGTTACGTACGCAGGGGAAATGATGCTACAGTAACATACACAAATTACCTAAGAATAATATAATTTTCCCCTTGCGAAGAAACACTATTACATGCTATAAAACAATATAATAGGTAATTAAATGGGAAGTCCAAATATTGCAATCATATCATTTTTCTAAATGCTTAATGTAATTCCAATAAAAATCCTACCGGGATCCTTCTTGGAACTTGAAAAATGATTCTAAAATTCATCTGGAAAAATAAATAAGCCAGAACAAATATTGGTATATGGAAAATAAAAGCAAGTAGAGGTCAGCAGGGTATTAAGTTAATTTAAGACATTCAACCATGAATATCTATATATAAATTAGTACCAGCTCAAGAAAGAAAATACTCAGCACCACACAGATGTGGTACAGAATAGAGGACACAGAAACCAATCCACAAAACTACAACTATCTTATATTTGATAAAGGGTCTAAAAGCATGCAATGGAGGAAGGATAGCATCTTCAACAAATGGTGCTGGGAAAACTGGAAATCCATATGCAACAAAATGAAACTGAATCCCTTTCTCTCGCCATGCACAAAAGTGAATTCAAAATGGATCAAGGAGCTTGATATCAAATCAGAGACACGCCGTCTGATAGAAGAAAAAGTTGGCTACGATCTACATTCGGTGGGGTCGGGCTCCAAATTCCTCAATAGGACACCCATAGCACAAAAGTTAATAACTAGAATCAACAAATGGGACTTACTCAAACTAAAAAGTTTTTTCTCAGCAAAAGAAACAATAAGAGAGGTAAATAGGGAGCCTACACCCTGGGAACAAATCTTTACTCCTCACACTTCAGATAGAGCCCTAATATCCAGAGTATACAAAGAACTCAAAAAATTAGACAATAAGAGAACAAACAACCCAATCAACAAATGGGCCAAGGACCTGAACAGACACTTCTCAGAGGAGGACATACAATCAATCAACAAGTACATGAAAAAATGCTCACCATCTCTAGCAGTCAGAGAAATGCAAATCAAAACCACCCTAAGATACCATCTCACTCCAGTTAGATTGGCAGCCATTATGAAGTCAAACAACAACAAGTGCTGGCGAGGATGTGGGGAAAAGGGTACACTTGTACATTGCTGGTGGGACTGCAAATTGGTGCAGCCAATTTGGAA